AAAGTCTCCAAGTGGTCGAGGGGATCTTTAGTTCCGTCGAAACTCTCAATTGTGGGCATTCTAAATTTGCTTGGCAAAGGGCATTTCATAACCGAGGGGCTGAATGGCAAATTGGTTTTCTGCACCAAACCATCTATGGCTGCAATGCCTTTTCCCTTCATGGCCTGCATCACACCCTCCATCTTTGCCTTGAGATCCTGTATCTCTAGGTCAACGTGGGAAATTTCCTCGGTCTTTTCAATGACAGTCGTGTCTTCATGGGGTCGGGAACTCCGTGGAAGAAAGGGGCGGATCACCTCTCTATGTCGGTTTCCCACCTGGCTTTGTTCAACTTCTGTCTCATGTCGGGGAGGATGAGTATCCTGCTTTTCCAGATTCCCATTACCCCTGTTTGGATTCGAGAGGTCTTGGCGTGGCAAGCCCTGTTGAACCGGTGGAACAAGGTGTTGCAGGAGTGCTGCATTTTGTTGGATCAACTGGTCCATACCCTGATTCAGAGTTTGGACCTGCAGTTCCAACGCTGCAAATCGTGTCTGGTCATTTGGGACGTCTAGATTTTCACCCGACTCTTCCCTTTGACCAGATCCCTGCGACGGTGTTCCTTCGGTAACCATACCGGACCGCAAACGTCTATACCCAACGAGTAATAAATCGATTCAAGGGAATTGCTGTTCCCACAGACGGCGCCAACTGTTGAGGTTGAATTTCGCCGCGGTCTAGTACGACACCGTTTCCTGCAAAATAAGGATGGCAAAGTCAAACACCGGTGTTGTGCCGGCCGTTGACCCTCCGACGATCAAGTCAGCAAGGATTCTCGATAGAGAATTTTAATCGTAATTTGCTTAGTAGGAGTTTTTTTGTGCCTACCTTATCCCCAAGTCGTCTTTGTCTTTATAGTCACTTCCCTTATTCTTGATAAGGGAGTTCCATCGTCCTTAGCCCATAGAGCCTACCTCGTGGAAATCCTATCCTTGATAAGATTTGAACTTATCCCATGACAAATCCTATCCTAGATACGATTTGTCATCATTCTTATTTAATAGAATGGTTATCCTTAATAACGAGATATTATCGTCTGAGAGTTGGAGAAATCTGGTGGTAGGTCAATATTTAATTCCCTTTTTTGTTAAGTCAAGATAGGCTAGGGTTATTTTTCCCTATCAATATTTTTGTAAGGTATGAAAATGGTGTTAATAATATTAAACAAAATATGTGAAATTGAATAAAATTTTGTTATATAAATAATTATTTTCTATATATTGTGAATCAATATGAATATGAATGGTAACAGTTTAAAATATAAATAATTACATAATATTTATGTAGGGTACAAAAATGGTGTTAACAATATTAAAGAAAGTACGTAAAATTGAATAAAATTCTTATATAAATAATTATTTTTTATATATAGTGAATCAATATGAATGGTAATAGTTTAAAATGTATTAGGTAGAATTATGTTTTTTTTTATTTTTATTTTTTTGGAATTTGTTCCATGCAATTCATTTTCATTAGCAACAAGACGAAACTAAATATATATGATTATATGAGGGTAGAGCAGTCATTAGAAATTTGTTTTTTAAACCCAACCACTTGCCATGTTCTGCGATAAGCTATAAGCAACCTTTCCAACGCTTAAAATTTTCGCCTCTTTTAAGAAGTACTTACCATTTTAAGCGGTGTCCTGAAATTTTATTAAACGCACTTATTTTTAAAAATCACTTACCGTGTTCTGCATTCAGCGCTTAATTGGAAAATCAAACAGGCTTAGATTATGGTTGTGGATGCAGTTTTAGAATTTTAATCAACTGATAGATATGGTATGTTAGGCTCCGCTTGTTTGGACGTAAAATATTTTTCAGAAAATATTTATTTTTTATTTTTTTGGTATTTGGTTGTCGTAAAATATTTACAAACAAAAAAAATTAAAAATTAACAAAAATAACTTATTTATTAATTTTAGACAAGTTATTCTACATGTCCTGCCCAATGGACTTGACCTCAACCTCGACGTAGATCTTTGCCAAATATAGACAAAGTAAAAATAAAAGATTTTACCTAAAAGATAAAAATATTTAAAAAAAATATAAATTTTACGTAGGAAGAAATGGAGCCTTAATATTAAATTTGGGATAGTAGGAACTTATAAAAATAGAGTACATCAATATATAGGATATGAGTATCCTTATAATTCTTGGCAAAATATATATATATAATAACTCCCTAGTTTTTTTTTTTTTTTTTTTTTATTTTTTTTAAAAAAAAAATTAATAAAAACGTAACAAAACCTCCTCAAACTAATGTATTCGCAATAATCCCGCTGTAGTATCTGTTAACATGATTTTTTATTTTTTTCTTTTTGGGGGAAATTCAAACAATTGTGTATATATATATATATATATTATATATATAAGAGTAATTGCAAAAGCCCAAATTAATGGGTTAGGCCCAAAGGGCTGTCACAAGTGTAACATGACAGCCCAAATGGCAACAAAGGGAGCAGAATTTGGCTAGCCGTTAGACGCAGTCGAGATCATCTCAACATCTCCGCTGGTGAAGCCAAGGTGTGATTCCGGTGGAATCGCAATCAATCGGGATCAGTTAGTCTCGGGGTTGGCCTGATGAAGGAAGACAGAAACTTCCATCTTTAACTGAGCATGCCGGGACTTTATGGAATCTCTCTTTGTTACAGAGTCAAGATTACCTGAGACGGTATCCATAATCCTGTTGAGGATGCACAATTGCAAATAGGATTTTCCTTTAAACAATCTTGCTCTTCGTTCCCTCCAGACATGGTATACTTCCAGTGGTGGGAGCACCAATTAACCAGAGAGATTCAATTCGGCATTGCTAAATGGAACCCACAATGTGTTTGAATAAATGACCAAATTGGAGCAGATAATGGGCAGCTGAAAAATAGATGGGAATGGGATTCAGGGGATGATAATTTAACAATGGTTTGAGGAATCAGAAGGGGATATGGTCCAGAGCACAGAGTCTGAGCGATCAACAGTGGGTGGTGGATTGGTTCGAAGCTCGGGGACTAGGGAAGTGATGGAAGGTGGAAAGCTCCAAGAGTTACCTGTAATGAATTCTCTTACAGTAGCATTGGGTTCAACAGGAGAGTTCTGAATGGATAGATGACTGTGAGAAAGAGTGAGTGGTCCTGATGACAGCCAATTATCATGCCAAAAACTGGTAGAAACTCCATTGCCGACTATGCTCGATTAGTGGTCTAACTAAGCTCTGAGTTGTAGAATCTTTCTCCACATCCAACTATCGGAAGAGAATCAAAATACAATTTGGTCTTTCGGAAGAGGTTCCCCTTGTGGTGAATCCGGTGCACCATTCTTTGTTGCCATTTGAGTGAGCCGGTGCAGAGCTAAATGCAGGCCAATGTTGGGCTCCATGCCGGCACAATGGTGCTCTCTTTTTCCTCTTCAACTATGCTCTTTCTCTCGCTTATGCAAACCCCCACTTTTTTCTTTTTCTTTTTTTTCCTAAGTCCAATTCCATTTGTTCCCAGCAATTTCTGCAAACATCATCGATCCTCATCCTGACTGAGTCCATTCTAACACCTCAGTCACCACACTACAGTATGATGCATAAGCACCTATGATTAAAGGTTGAAGATTGAGAAAATGTTGAGATTGGGGAGAAATCAGACAGGTTATTGGTTAGTTAAACTATTCATAGAGATTTGATCAGAACTTTGTGATGAGGAATCCTTTTAGAATAATCATTTTCAGTCCAAAATTAAACATCTGACTGAATGGAGGAACTGAGAGGAGCTGCTTCGGCTCCTCCATTGGCAGCCTTGTTTTCGTCTCCCACATCACTGCTCTTTTTTTTTTTTTTTACTCTTTATATATAATTCTGATGAGACAAACAAAGCATGCATGTTAGGCAGTGGTAGTTAGCGGTCAAGGTTTTAAGGAATTGCACCACCATCACCGTCTACATCAGAGTTTTATATATACAATTGCACCACCACCATAGTCTGCCACATATCCCATCATCACTACATCAATACTCATTGATGTATTTTCTTCTAATCATTAATTATAGATCTCACTTGTCTTTTTATTCATTATGTTCCTGTCCTATTTTTTCTCCTATAACAAAGCTTTGTTTTTGTTGATACTCCGTATATTATTTATTTTTTTCTATTGGAAGGTGAAGAAGCATTAGGTAGGAGGGGTGGTTGTTGGTCGATAGTTTTATTTTATACAATATGATGAGTCAACACATTAGTTTCATAGGTATTGGTTGTTAACTTGGTTAATCAGTAATTTAGTGATCTAGAATAAGATCGAGAGTGGGTACCAGTACCATTGAAAAACTCTCTCTTGTTGATTACACTTTGTAGATTGAGTGTCAAAGAGAAAAGAAGGGTGGAAATTGCTACCGCATTCGTTACTTGGATGGTGGAGAAAATCCTAGACTCCTTGATCAATGCAGTTGGATGTGAAGATTTGTTACTTGGTTGAGTATGACAACAATATTGAGAATGTTGATAAGAAAAGGTGAGAAGCTTGGGCATGTGAAATAAAGGGTGCAAGGACAGGTTGACACTGCCACGAGGAACAGGGAAGTTACTGAAGCTGATGTCCGGACCTGGCTTGAAAATGTGTATGTTGTCACCTTGGGGTCAGAAAGCTTCTGGAAGACGAAGATCAGTAGGACAAGAGGTGCCTCGGTGGATGGTGCATCAATTTGAGCTCTCAATACCAGTTTAGCAAAGAAGCAAAGTAGAAAACAGTTGCAATTACTGAGCTCCATGAAGAGGGCAGATTCTCGACTTTGTCTCACCCTGTTCCTCCACCAGGAATAGAAGTTTCTTCAAGCAGAGGTTTTCGCACTTTTGAAAGAAGAGCATTAGCCATGAAGCGAATTACGGATGCTTTGATGGACCAGAACACTCACATTATTGGAATTTGTGGAATGGGAGGTGTGGGCAAGACTAGTGTAGGAAATTGGCAAACGTACCAAAGAGAGAGATGGCCGTTGTTTCTCAAACTCCAAGTGTGACCAAGATCCAAAAGGAAATCGCAGACATGCTAGGCAATAAGCTAGACAACAAGCTAGACAACGATGTCAGTGTTAGCGAATCTCATAGAGCACAGTTATTATGGCAAACAATAAGGACCTGGCAGAAACGAATCCTGGTAATACTTGACACTGTTTTGGGACAGACTTGATCTTTAGGCGGTGGGTGTTCCTTTTAGAGAGGATAATATAGGTTGCAAAGTTGTGTTAACCAGTCGAAGTGTGGTTTGCAATCAAATGGGAGTTCAAAAGATTGTTCATGTCAATGTGTTGCCGAAACCAGAAGCATGGGTCCTTTTCACAGAGATGGCCAGTGAAGCAGTCGATTGCAGTGATTTGAATCCATTGCAAGAGAGGTAGAAGATGAATGCAGTGATGTGCCACTTGTTATTGTGACGATCACTAGAGTGTTGAAAAATAAAAACGAGTGCATGTGGACTGATGTAGCTCGACAGCTAAAGAAGTCAAACCCAACACACATCCATGGATTGCAAATAGACGTGTCTGCCAAACTAGAGTTGAGTTTCAATTATCTGGAAAGCAAGGAGGCCAAATCATTCTTCTTATCCTGTTGCTTCTTTCCAGAAGATTATAACATTCCGATGGATGACTTGATGAGGTACTCGATGGGGCTTAGGATGTTTCGAAAAGTCCGTACCATTGAAGAAGCAAGAGGTATAGCCTGGGCTGTGGTAAGTACCCTTATTGCTTCTTTTTGTTGATGGATGGTACTGAGGAAGGGTTCGTTAAAATGCATGATGTCATTCGCGATGTTGCAATATCTATTTTGTCTAAATATGAGAACTACAGGTTCAAGGTTATGAGTGGACTGAGAGATTGGCCAATTGAACAAACATTTGAAAATTATTCAGCATCTGATTGATATCAAATGATAGTAATGATGAGCTTCCTGATATCCTTCAATGCCCAAATCTCCAGACCTTGCAACAACAATGCAATTCTCAGTTGCAAATTCCAAATGATTTCTTTCAAGGATTGAAAGATCAATTAAATTTTTTAGAAATATCTAATTTCTCAGTTTCAAATTCCAAATGCTGTATTCGCTTCCAGTCACTTCCACCATCGCTTGGAATGCTTTCTACCCTTCAAACCCTTCATCTAACTTATTGCAAGTTAGGGGACATATCTATGATAGGAAGCCCATATAATCTTGAGATTATCAGCTTTTGTGGTTCCGAAGTTGATGAGATTCCCCAAGAAATTGGCCAATTGACTTATCTAAGACTCCCTGATTTGACGAACTGTGAAGGGCTTATCAAAATAGTACTAGGCGTCATATGCAGTCTTCGTAAATTAGAGGAGCTATATTTGCCAGAATATATTAGGATCCCATTGGGCTAAAATCCTTGTCTCAATTGGCTTGCCTGCACATTTTTATTCCAATCAAGCCTTTGTTAGCTGGATCTGGGTGATAGATCGGCCTATACATTCTGGTAGTCTAGCTCCTACTTATGGAGGAAAACCAAACCCCAGGTCTGTCCCCCTTCAAGCAGCCTACCAGATGAATATCCTATACCAATTCTGATATTTACATGCTTCAGATAGGTAGCATGCATCAATTGTACCCATTGCAATGAAATATTTGTCGTGTTGAAGTGAGTACGTCATGGGTGCTAGGTCTCGAGCCATAGTACCATCATCAGTAGTTAGAGGAAGAGTTCCAACAAAGACTTCCAAACGGATCACGGGACTTGGTCCAGCCAATCCACCAGATTGGACAGCTGTTTCGGTTGATATTGGTTTGTTTGAGTTTTGAGAATCACATATGCCATTCTTGAGTTAGGAGTGTTGGGTGAGCAATATGTTCTTTTGCATAGGATTGCTTGTAAATCCCGTAGTTGGGGGAAGTTATAGTTCTGGTTTATCCTATAATAGATTCAGAGTCTTCTTCTAGAAGCTCTTCACATGATCCTGAACCAATTCCTCAGTTTGTGTTGAAGAAACTGACAATCCATTTTATAAAAAGTCAAATCTCTTCTGCGTATAGATTTACATGTGGGAGAGACAACAAGTTTCAACATAAGAATTGGCATTCCAAGTCATAAGGTTGGCCAAACATACAAATCTAATCTTTATTGATGGCTTGAAGAATTTGAAGAATATCTTCATTGAATTAAATGACGATGGCTTCAGTGAATTAAAGTCTCTTGAAATCAATTTCTGTATAATGGAATACCTGGTGAACAGAACGAAGGGGACACCGCAGGTGGCCTTTCGCAGCTTAGAAGTTTTGTTGTTTCATTTCCTAGACGGCTTCATTGAAATATGCCCTGGCCAACTCCCGGAGGACCTGGACCAATCCTTGTGCAATGTACGACAAATACATGTGAGTGTGTGTCATGAGATGCTGAAGATTGCTTCATCTAGTTTGCTATTAAGGCTAATAAATCTTGAGAAATTCAGTGTCAGTGCTGCTTGTTCACTGATAAATGTGTTTGAACTGGAAGAGCATGATGTTGAAGATGAACTTGAGCTAGATGGTATGTGCGGGATGACACGTATATGGAGGGGCCCCTACAATTTATTAACCTTGAGAAGGTCCAATTGAGTCAATGTCACACAAGTTGCGAAAGTTATTCCCGCCAATGCTAGTACAAGGGCTTGTTCGCCTGAAATACCTCTATATTAGTAATTGCCATGGTTTGGAAGAATTACTATTGGTTGTGAAGAGTTATAGTACTATTGAATGGCCATCTTAGGAAATGCTGGAGATGGAATCTTGTCATAGGATGGGGACTTTTGGTTGTGGAGTGCAAGAGATTAGGATGGATGGCGACCTTAATGCCACTGTGCAACAAATCTTCAAAGGAAAGGTTCGAATCATTGAGCACGGACTGTGTATATAGATTATATCCGATTTGGTCCTGTTAATTACAATGAAAGGTCCTCATATTTCATTGTGGACATACAATGGTTGTGTGTGTTCCTCACAGTGGGATATGGTTTTGTAGGCACTGGCTAAGGAGGAAGGTCCCAGTCACTCTTCCCCATTAGGCATCACCCACTTGAAAGTAGGAGCTTGGTGATGGTTCCGAGGAGGATGCAGATTTCCAACTAGCTCTTTCAGCAAAAATAAAATAAAATAACCAAGAGAAACAAAAGCTGTCTTCCGTTCTTGGTTATGACAATGAGGATATTTCATCTCCAGCAGCCATGTAGTGTTCCTTTTGTTATTCGTACTTTCGTAGGTGCAGCACCTTGTGCGGAAATAAAAATACTCATGTAAAATGGTGGTTCTTTGATGTATATATGTAATCCTCTGGTGTGCTTCATTATATTTGTGACGGTGTGTAAACTACTTGTATAAACAGTATTCTATCTGAGTGCAATGTTTTGTGTATTAATGAATGTGTAATATTTTGTATATTAATGAAGTAGTTGTTGTTTCTCCCTTTTTTTTGGGGCTTTACTTTTTGCTTCAAAATGATATACATATATCACTAAGTTACGTACCTTCACTATTTTAGTATATATGAACTCAGTAATGTGGGAAAAAAAAAATTCACAAGAAATTAACTTTAGCTCCATATTTTAATATTTTATTCTAGGCAATCACATAACAAGTACAGCTTTGGGGACACCTATTACAATGCCTTATGTTGGTCATATGATGGTTCTTTTCAACCCACATTGAAAAGAACATGAAGGACAATTTTAAATAAATGTCTACTTTTAAAAAAATAATATAAAAACTTTAAGGGGATGGTGTTTATTTAAAATTGGAAAGTTAATAATTATCATTTTGTCGTGTTTATTGGAGAACAAATGATTTTTTTTTTTGTCCATAGGGCACACAAAATAGAATGTTGCATTTACTTCCTCTCTCTCTCTCTTTTTTTTTTTTTTTTTTCTCTTAAACAAGTGAAGGTTTATTAATATATTCTCTTTTTTCCTTCCTCTTTCATTTTATTTCTTTTTCTCTCCTAATTATCCAGTTAAATGCACGGTAAAAAAAAAAATTTATTCTCTCTTTTCTTTTCTATTGATTCAATAAAAGAAAATTAAGAAAAATAATAAAATTCCTTCCACATTTGGGTGAACAAAATAGGCTTCGATGGATAGGTCCTTATACATTTAAATAAAATAAAATTAAAAATCAAAGGAAATCATCCATTTTTTCCCTTGGGATGCAAACGTCAACTACATTGATGAAAAGGCAAATCAGAAGCGAATAATCATGATCTATAGTGTTTAAATAGTTTTCCAAACCAAAAAGTGGAAAGAACCAAATGTTGGATAATTTGACCTTGAGTTTAGACTTTAATCAAATGATCTCTAAATTAATCATGTTGCACATATTTTATATAACTAAGAACTGCGATTGATACAAGTGTCACATTCTTTGGGCATTCATAATATCAAGTCACTAGTACTCTTTACTGCATTTTTGTGAAGTTACTGCGTATCACCGTAACTGGTCGTCAATAGCACCATAATGATTTTCCAACTCCAATATGTGAGGAGCATTGAGTTCGGGTGTCTCTACCCTATACCATTAGTTAACACATTATAGGACTTTTCTTTATTTTCCTTTCTTGTTTGTTTGGTAGAAAGAAGAAAAAGGGAAACAAAAAGGAGGAAGGAAATCTACCCATTTTCTTCTAAAAATAAAAAAATAAAAATTTCTAGCCATATTAATTTCGGGCTTGGATTCTCAATTTTCAGTTGTGGATAATGAGAGTGGACCATTATAAACATGTCTTATTTGATGGTCTAATCTCTATAATTGATTAAATACTTAATCAAATGGAGAATCATTACCCATCTAATTTTTATTTTTATTATTTTTTTTTTCAAGAATGGTAGAGATTAGTGAATAGTGCTTAGTTATTAGATAGAAGTGAAAGGATGCAAAACTCGAACACGGGCTCTCAAATACGAAGAGCAACCTAATCACTCAAACAATGCAACACTTGTCCATTTATTTCTTCAAAAGTGAAAAGCTTGAAGAAATCATCATTATATTTTTATATTTTTTGTTGTCTTTATTGTATATTTATCTCACTACACCTTCTTTAATATTTAGCATAAAAATTCAAGACAAGTCCTTTACTTGTATTTCAACTCATTTCAATTTGAAAGGTAGAATGTTTGAGTCTTTCAAAGTGTATCGTGGAAGTTAATTTTGAGGGCAATTATATATACATATATATATTAGCATTATATAAATAATTTGAGATTCCTAAGAATAAATTTTAAGTTTTCACATATTGGAAAATTTGAAAAAATATTCAAAAATCCATTAAATTGACATTTTTTTAAATAAAAAAATTGTTGCCTAAAAACATAATTAAAAAACTCCAATTATAAAGAACATTTGTTAAAGCACGTATATAAACAAATTTAAAAAATACCCTCAAATAAAATCACACAAGTTGGTCAAAATTCAACTAATCAATGTATACAACTCTAATCAAACGACTAAAGACATAAAAGTTTGAGAGAGAACTTACTCTTATAAATGAATACTTAATATTTGATTATTTAATGAAGAACAAGTAATTCAAGCATCTACTGACTTCAATCATTTTCCTCAATTTAAGGTTTTAGAAGACATAAGAAATGCCATTACTAGGGGCACGTTTGTGGACTGGTCATTGATAAATATATTCTGTAATAGCCTTTTCCTTTCCTACCGTACGACGTCGGTCCAAAGCTACTCCATCGGGTATTAGTAAAAATGGGACTGCCCCCAAAAAAGCAAAAAAGTAGAGGGGGAGAGAGTGTGGGTGTGTCGGGTGTTGTGACAGTGGTATATAGTAAGTCTTTAGTCCAACTGATACTTTCCTCTTTCTTTCTTTAGGGGTTCGCAGCGTCCCGCAAACCCTCAAAAACCCACCGAACATGGTTTGATCTTCCGGCGAATTTCGCCGCCGACCGATCGTTTTCGTCACCATATCACATCCATATCTGTAAGTCCTTCTCCATTTCTCTCAAATATTCGATCATTTGGTTCAATTTCGTTATTTAATCTTCAGATCGGGACTCGACTCTCAACTCCTAATCTTTAAATTTAGCTTCAATTATTTCACTTTTTCTTGTTCCAATTGTTTTGTTTAAGATATTTTTTCCTTTGTGATCGATCATTTTGGGCCTAGCTTTTGCAGTGTTCTTGTTGATTAAATCATCAGCATCGGGAGTTAAAACCTGTTATTTGGTGAAATTAAAACCGCTAATTCACGCGCGTGCTGTTGTGTATTCACTGACCATATTTTCTCCCATTTATTCGTATCATAAGTTTCAACATTTTTCATGTATTTGTTTCTTTTTATTTGTATTCATCTTTGGGTTTAATATCTTATTTTGACCTGGTTTACTGTGTTGAAATTTATTTACATGTATTTGATTTTGTGGTTGATTCACTTAATTAACATGAAGATGGATAAGGGTTTATGAAAGTACTAATCTTTTTTTTGGGGATTAGAATATGTTGAATGCTGAATAGTGATATATGTGTTCGTGTAACCCATTGATGGGCAGAAAAAAGAAATGATTATGGAAAGGATTGAAGACAAAATGCATTGGGGTTGAGTGGTATATCTATGTTAATTCTTTCAATGTCTGTTTCTGTTTGTACTGAGTATATAGGTTGATTTGAGTTGCGGAATTCTATGTTATAAGTTGTTTCAAATACAATCTAGTTTCGAGTTGGAAAAGATTATTTCATTAAACCTTTGATGGTACTTACTGTGTGGTTTATGATTTTCATTGTTTTAATCTACTTTTTACTGATTTCAGTGCTTGCTTCCTTGGATGTTCAATTAAATAATCTTTCTGATCTCCAATTCTTTTTATCTTATGTAATTTCTTTTCTTTTATTTGCTGAATTCAACACTTTTTACCAATTAAACTGTCAAATTTTACATATCCATGCATATTGCACATAGATATGACCGAGTTTGTTAAACACCATGGCATCACTGTCAACTCTAGTAAAAAATTTGAATTGGATATCGGCATTCTCATGTTCTTTGTGGTAACAGTCCAACTTGGGAGTGTGTGAGTTGATCTTGGATTTGGGACTGTGTTAGTTGATCTAATCTTTATGCTTTCATTCAAATTTAAAATGCAAGACATGTGTCTTGACTCGATATATGTTCATTTTTCTAATTGTTTACAATCTTTGAAGTAACATGTGATTTGTAAACTGAACATTTACAGAGAACACAAAGTGAAAATGAGATATTGAGCATGAATATGAACATAAACATATTTGAACTATCACTTTTTAATTTTTTTTCTTTATTTATTAAGTGCTTGAAAGATTATCAAGGGTGACTTTCTTACTTTATCATGACTGAAGTGTCTTTATGTGTTCTAGAAACAAGTTTGCTTTACCCCGTATTTATTTTTTTACAAGAAAGCACAATAATTAGAAGTTTCTATTTATTAAACAGTTTGCTAAAAATAAGTTTTCTTTATTATAATTAAACTTGAGATGGTCCTCTTCCTCTGTATGCTTATAGTGTGCTGAGTGAATTTTCAAATTCAATAAGGTAAAGCTCCATTCAAAATCTTCTTGTCTTCCTATAGTTAGTAACAAGATCTCACGGCTAAAGAGTATCAATAATCACGCCATGTTTCTTTGTGAAGGTGATTAGAGCTGTAAATGAGTCAAGCCGAGTTTTGGGGTGTTCCACTCCAAAAAGGTGCTAATCGAGGTTTGACTAGTCAAGATTGAGCTTGGCTCACCGGTGTTTGAATGAGCCCGGATGGTTCAATTGAGCTAATTCTTGTTTGTATGACTACTTAGTGTGTGTGTGCATGTCTATATATGACACTTCGATGGAAGAAATCACCATTGATCATGGCTTCATTGTCCAGCATTTGAGAGAGAGAGAGAGAGAACTAATTTGTTTGGCAAAAGATGCTGTTGGTTGTGGTTGTCAACGACAGGATTTGCCTTTTCGACAGACGTCAATTTGCTTGGGCTATGTGGCGACTAGGTTGTGTGCGTGCAAGAAAGAGAAGGTAATGGAGATAGGGTTTACAGATAAGCTGGCTGCTAGGATTGTGTGAGTGAGTTAACAGAAGGTAATGGAGATAGGGGTTACAAATGTGCTAGCAGCTAGGGTTGAGTGTGAGCGAGAAAGAGAAGGTAATGGAAATTGGGTTTAATGATGGGTTGGGTAATGGAGATGGGCTTGTGTTTTGGGCTATTTTATTTTCAAAAGGAATGAATATAAGTTGGTCTGGGCTGGGTTTGGACTTTTATTTGTTAGTTAAAATGAAGTGTAATGGTTAATAAGCCTTCTTAACACAGCCAACACACACACACACACACACACACACACACACACACGAGCTCAAAACGTGTCATTCGACGATCTTGTTCGTGAACGTCTTCACAAATAAACGTGATGTGGTGGGGGTTGTGTGAGCTCGGTTATTTTAATAATTGAGCTTTAAAATTCAGTTTGAGCTTGGTTCATATACTAAATAAACAAACACGAATTGAGCTCTTAAAGAGCTGTGCCTCAGCTGTTCGCTAATAGCGAGGTTCATTTATAGCCCTAAAGGTGATAATTTTTTATTTATTTATTTGTGGACGGTGATACTGCTGTGCTGTTCTTTTTGGATTTTCTTTATAGCATGGAACTAGGTTGGTGAAGAGTTTTTTTTTTTTTTTTTTTCATGTTTAGTAACGCTAGCACTTGTCAAAAAAAAAAAAAATAAATGTTTAGTAACGCTAGCAAAGAAATGCACGAGCGATGCACGTAGTTCAAAAAGTTGCAACAATATATGATGGTGAGACATTCTTCTAAATTTTTTTTATTTTTTATTTTATTTATTTTAAATATAGTTTAATAACTCGTAGGTATTTAAAAAAAGAAAATATGACAAATTGGGACCTTTACTGTCATTAAACAACCCAAATCCATCCACTAGAAGGCATATGATGGTGAGACATTCTTTTAAAACAATTTCTATAATATAGCTCAATAACTCATGGACATTTAAAGAAAGAAAAGATGACAAATTGGAACATTTAGCCGTTATGGTATTTTTCTTGAGATTATAAGTGCTAAGGCTTGCATCTTGTTAAAATTTTGCTGATCTCTATCAAAACTTCAGCAATGTGAAGAAAATCAATACATCAAGTAGTCTGAACCTGAAATATGAACAGATAATAAATCTAATTAACAAATGAACTAATAAATAAAAGCAGCACATAACCAACAAATTCAACACGAGGAATACTCACCTTGTGTGGTGAAAAAACAAACAATTGGTATAAATAAGCAAATCTAATTAAAGGATTAATACACAATATATACGTAGGAAAAAGAGAAAAACCATTTATGAACTAATTCACAAAGAAAGGAAAAAAAAGAACTAATTCACGAACAACCATTTGATGCTTGGCTTGTGTGGGTTCCTGTGGGTCATGCCTCATTCTGCTAGAGAGATGGTTGAGGCTTGGAGAGGGTGTTTTGTGGGGGCCCATGTTCGTGATCCTTGGAGGGCAACGCCTCTCTGTGTGTGGTGGTGCATTTGGCTTGAGAGGAATAGGAGATATTTTGATGGGAAGGAGAGGCCTATTTCTTTTCTTAATTTCTCTATTGTTTCCACTCTTTTTTGTTGGGTCTTGGGTAGAGATTATAGATCTTTAGAGGAAATTGTTGATTTTTTGGCCTCTTTGAAATTGTAGAGGATGTTTTGGCCTGTGTTTGTTCCCTTGGGATGCGCTTCCCTTTTGAGCGCTTTTTATACAATTCTTACTTATCAAAAAAAAAAGAAAAAGAAAAAAAAAAGCCCTATTTTGTATCCATGTGTACACCACACACACACACATGTACCTAAAAATAAAAATAGCTTATAATTGCATTTTTTGCGTGCACATGGCTTACAAAAGAAAGATTCTCATGCATCAATATGTACCTTTTCATTTTTATATTTTCTAATTATTTGATGAGAAGCATGTGATTATGAATCTAAAATTTCAATTATCTTGGAACTAATTCAAATACTTGTTTTAGTTGTGCTGCAATCTTTGAACGTTTATTAGACACAACTAATTTCCCATTGGGCCTTTCGTCTTGGTACATTAATCTCTTTAAATAAAATCCATATGCTTTGCCTTTCAGGGAAAAAAATAAAAGTCTTTGAACTTTATCATTTATCTTGGAACTAACTCAAATATTTGTTTTAGTTGTGCTGATAACTCCAACTTTTTAATAACCAAAATAATAAAAAACATTAAAAAAATGCGATCTTTGAAATTTTATCATTTCTTTGAATTTATGTGCACCAAATTGTTATGTTATTCAATTTCTTGCATAAAAAGCAAAAAATATCATTAAATCAGAATTTTTTTTAAAAAAATGTATAGAAATAATAAAAAATGCTTAACACTTTTATAAGTAGGTAGGAGAAATGTACATGCAATGCATGTAGTTGAAAATCTTTGCAGAAAATAATTTTTATGATACAAATGTTAAATAATTACACAATAAAAAAAAAATAAAGTAATAAAATCAAATGACATGATTAAGATAAATGCTAAATACTTTAGACATGAAGAGAAAAAAATTGACTGCAATCATTCAATACAAATATTTTATCAGATATGAAAAACTCAATTAAATTGGTAAAACATTTAGAATAATATGAAAAAAAAAGCATTACAACTCAAAGATTGATAAAGAGGCACAATGAAGTGCTTACCGTGCGTTGCAATAAAATCTCAGGATCAACACCATCTAAAATTCAACGATTTTGGAATTTTCATTACAAAGATTGAATGTCTGGACACAAAAACAATTTAAATCAACAACAAATCCAGCAAAGAAATGAAAAAAGTATCGAATTCATCTCTTTGCACTGGACGACCTAGAATTGACCATCGGGGAGGGATCAGATTACCCTTTCTTCGTTATCAATTGAGGATTGTCGCTCTGTTGCAACACACTCCAATCAACACCCGATTTGGTTACGTCATACTTTCCACACTTCTTTTTTTCAACAATTTCCTTATCTTGTTTTGCTAACTGTATATGAAAAGGAAATATGTTGATAACCATAATTTAGTTTTGCCGAAGGTTTGTGTCCTTTGGGTATCCTTTTAGGAATTAAGCGATTAGGAAACTGTTTAGGAAAATAAAATTATATTAGTAACTATAATTTACTTTTGCCGAAGGTTTGTGCCCTTTGGAGTGTCCTTTGAGAAATGGAAAAAAACTGTTTAGAATAAGGAAATAATATTAATAATTATAATTAATTGCAATTGATAAAAATAGTGAAAAATGTGAAATAATAAAAAAATCCTTGCACTTTTATAGATAGCATAGATAGATATGCATGTTTGACCAAATTTATGATATCTTTTGTGTCTATGGATAACATCGGCGAAGTTTGAATTAAACTATTTAAGAGAAACACTAGGCATTGTGAAATGATTGTTTATTGTCTTGTAAGTTTTAGAAGTCTATGAAAATTCTGTTGGAACATTTCTTTGAGCAATGTATTTTTCTATTTTTAACTCAATGATTAAAAGCTGAACGAGTTTGTTCTCTTTACTAGTTCAACATCCATGTTGCGTCTTAGATATTTTAGTTTTCAAATATTGATTTCTCATTTCAGGTAAATATCTTGTGGTTATTGGGTGGGTGATGGTGCCTTTTACCAAATTGATTGCTATCAATTATATGATATATTTGGTTGGTTAAAAAGGAATACTAGTTCCAATAAATATCAACTTATCAAGGTTGCAGAATGAATAGTTTGTAGCAATTTATTTTGCCAGTGGATTGAATTTAAAGGGAAGACAATAAATAGGAGACACAATTGGATTTCATTTCGAGTCCTGGCATAGTAAGTTGGAATCCTGTTTGTAGTGGGTGTTCTGCTTAGTGTCCTTGCATGGTTTATTAGTTTTCCTTTGTTGCGAATTGAATATTAGAGAATGAGATTAACTTAGGTGGTTCTTAGTAGTGACATTTCTTTTTTATGCAACACAAGTAATATGGAGTAGACATTTTAATCCACACATGTATTTGATGGATGAATGGAGTGTGACTAGGAGAGATAAGATAAATAATGACAGTGTGAGAGAAATATTAGCTGTAGCAACAGTTAGTGAGAAAATTAGAGAGTAGACTTAGATGGTTTGGACACATATATCGGAGACCTAGAGACGCATTGGTTAAGCGGGGTAGATTAGTTGTAATAGAAGGTAAGAGATGGAGAGGGCTACCAAAAAAAATAGGGGACGAGGTTATTAAAAATGAATTAAAAAAATTAAACATGGCAGGGGAAATGGCATGTAATAGGAAAGAGTAGAGAGAGAATTCACGTGGCCGACCCCGTTCGTATGGGATTAAGGCAAGGATGATGATGGTGATGACGACGACGACGACGATGATATATTTGTTTGTTTTATAGTCACTAGGCACTTTGATAGTTAGTTATTGGACAAGGATAGCCATCATGTGTGGAATTTGAATTTCGTTTTGTAAGATTTTTCAGTTTGCTGGTATGATGGTTGTTCCTATTGTGACAAAACAGAGTTATTGGTAGAAGTGTCGGGATTTTGGTTATTGCTGCTGGTGATGTTTGAAGATAAGTAACTTAGAAATTCTGTTACATGTTTGTGGTTTTGTTGTCTTGTTACTTGGACTGAATCTGTATTAGAACTTCTGTTACTTGTTTGTGGTTTGGTTGTCTTGTTCCTTGGACTGAATCTGTACTTTGTAAGGACCTTTTTGTTCTTCTGTTGATAAGTTATCCTTAAACATTAGGGGGCTATGTTTTGTAGAGAGAGTCTTGCTTCGTTAATGTGTATAATTGATTTGGCAATCCTCTTTCTTGGTGCAAGCTTTTTAACTTGCTGCTAGGACATTAATTTCGTCAAGATTTTACAGATCTTTTGTAGGCCATAAATCTTGATATTTTAGGTCCTCTCTTTTCAAACTTTTAACTTGTGTATCATGAGATATATATATATATATATATATATATATATATATTTGTTTTTTTTTTCGGTTTTCCATTTCTTTCTCCATGTCAGTTTACTTTAGGAATATTTGTTAGCATTTAATGATATTTTATTTATAGTTCTCTTGGTATAATTCAAGTTTCGGCCAACCTTCACCACTATGCTTGGAAGACACTGGTTATTAGCTGTTTAGATATTTGATTTAGTTCTACAGCATCCGTCTATAGTATTTTTGTGGAAGAAATGCAGGGGTGAGACACTGAGGACTTTGGTTTGGTGCACTGCTGCAGCAATACTAAAGTTCACCTTGTTTTTTTTGGATGTATATCGAAATATATTTTCTAAAAGTGTAAAATTGTCATCCATAATCTTTTAGTTAAGCAGGATATTACTCGAAAGATTTATAACTTATAAGTAGAGCTATCCAATGAAGTCATAATGCCATAACTTAATAAGATATTGACTCTTATGTGCCTTTTAATTCTTGCATACACCGACACACATATATTGGAATGTTTTAGTTACTTCCTTTTGACATGTAGTGTTTTGGTTAGTTGAGAAGTTGGGGATCTTTTGTGAGTGTTCAGAATAAATTTTAAATGCATTGCTTAAGTAAATTCTGAGTTCCTTTTTTCAATTGATTTTTCTCTTATATTTTTGATGAATGACAATGTGTTAGATTATAGTCACTTAATGCTTGTTTACCCCCCTGTATGCGGCACTAAGAGATTTCATAGATGCTGTTTAATTTTTACAAGGTTCTCTCTTACATATGCATTACACAGAACAGATAATAATTATACAGAGCAGATAATAATAAGATTATTAGCGGCTGATATAGTGATAATTCATGCAACATATGGCATGGCTAATGTGTTTTTGTTCATTTCAGATGCCAAATTTATTCTTGTCTTTTTACTCTTTTATTAATTCCTTTATTTTAATTTTTTTTTCAGTTTCCACTAGGCTTTGCTGCCATGGAAGATGCTCAATCAGTTGCTACACTCATGGATTCCACGAGCTCTAAGATTCAACAACTTCAGAAAGCATTTGCTGAGCTCGAAAGTCATCGTGCCGTAACTCTGAATTTAAAATGGAAACAACTTGAAGAACATTTTCATGGACTTGAGAAGTCCCTGAAGAGGCGTTTTAATGAATTGGAAGACCAAGAAAAGGAACTCGAGAGCAAGGCAATGGAAGCCCAAGAGTTGTTGGTGAGGCGTGAAGCAGCTGTCACAGCCAAGGAACAAGCTTCATTGGAGAGGCTCCAAGAGAAGAGAGATGCTGCAGTCTCTGCAATTCTAGATAAGCACAGGAAGGTATTTCCCGGAGAACCTGCTGTTGTCACGAGTGAGGGCCAAGGTGGAACAGCATTTGTGGAAGAGAAACCACCTGATGCCATGGCTGCTGAGACTCCTGAGAGTAACAACGAAGACATGAAGAAGACTTCTGAAATTGGAAATGTGGAGGTGATGTCTTACCCCCAGCTAGTCAAATTATGTCAAGAGATGGACTCAGAAGGGCTCCACAAGTTCATATCAGACAACCGTAAGAATCTTGCTGCCATAAGGGAGGAAATTCCACTTGCATTAAAGGCTGCAGCTGATCCAGCTTCTTTGGTTTTGGACTCCCTCAAGGGTTTCTACTGCATGGAACTGCCAAATCTGGATGGAAAAAAAGATTCAAATCTACTGGGTCTACGCCGAACATGTATCATGTTGATGGAGTGCCTTAGCATTTTGTTAACAAGCCTGGATCTGGGCTCTGTTTCAAATGTAATCCCAGAAGATGTAAAAGAACGAGCAAAGGCTATTGCTGAAGAGTGGAAACCAAAGTTAGATGATCTTGATGTGGATGCTGGCAATGGGAACTCCTTAGAGGCTCATGCATTTTTACAACTTCTAGCCACTTTTGGTATTAATTCTGATTTTGATCAGGACGACTTATCCAAGTTAATACCGATGGTTTCTCGTCGTCGCCAAGCAGCTGATCTGTGTCGTTCCCTTGGATTGTCAGATAAGATGCCAGGTCAGCTTTTGTTTATTTATTTATTATTTGAGTTTGGGTATCGGGTTGGGGGGTCAATGTTGAAAACACATTGAACATTCACTTGACAGGATGAACTTGCTTGGGGTTTTATATCGCATAGAACTTGGGTAAATGGGGTACATATCTAATCTGTAGCTTTTAGGAAAGTGGACATCGGTAAATTGTAAGAAGTGTCCAATTTTTCTTATAATCTGTATATGAGAGTGAAACAACCTGTCTGAGAACATTAAGTCTTTAACGCGAGTACATGTACTCATTGGAATTTTTTGAGCACTGGAGACATGTTAAGCAATATCCAATGGAACTGCCGGGTTACGTTTCTCTCTTGTCAGATATGCACCTTGTATTTTCCAACAAAAGGCATGTTAGACGCACCCCATACTTGTCGGTGCCCATGTCATAGTGTCCTAAAGGGGTGTTTTATGCATTTTTAAAATTTTAGACAACTTAGAGACAAAATGGACAAGAAGGGTCATCTCTCCTAAAGTAGTTAAGGATGGACCCCCCTCCCTTTTTTATTTTTAATTTTTAATTTTTTTTCTTTTTTTCATTTCATTTGATAACCTACAGTGTAAGTATAATGGGCCGGGTGCTTCGCGGTTCGACCCAAAAGCTAAAACTATTAAGTGGTGCTAACACCCAACCATAGATACCCAATCACTTTCCTATCCGGATCCGATGTGGGACAAGACCCTTCTAACATTCTTCCCCTCCTGAACTCGCAATGCACTTGTTGTGGTCGGACCACCCGGCGTTGACCCGGGCACCTCCCGGGTGGGCTCGTCTAGGCGAGTACTTGGCGTGACACCGGACCAAGGACTGAGTCTGGCTCTCATATCAACTATAATAGGTAGGGAGCTTCGTGGTCCGACCCAAAAGCTTAAGTTATTAGGTGGTGTCCAACCCACATATACCCAATCACTCCCCCACCTGGATCCGATGTGGGACAAGACCCTCTAACAGTAAGCTTGTAGGTTCGTGCTTCATTGGATTTTGCGTTTGTTCCATGTGAAATACTCTATATTTTCTCTTTAATAGACTTTTTTTATAGAAAGTTTCTTGGCATTTGCTGAATAATGGAGTTGAGGATGTTGCAGCTTGGGTAGATGGATTCATTTGACAGAGAGTGCAGAAGTTCTCAAGGGGACTGAATTATTTTAATGTCATACTACTATCAGTTTTTGTAACTGTTCTATGGTTCACTTCAGTCTGCTTGGACTTTTCAGGTGTAATTATTGTTTTGGTGAATAATGGAAGGCAAATTGATGCTGTTAACCTAGCTTTTGCATTTGAGCTCACAGAGCAGTTTTCACCTGTTTCATTACTGAAATCCTACTTGACAGAGGCAAGAAAAGTTTCTTCACCTGTAAGATCTGGAAATCAATCTCCTACTCTGCAGGTTTGTTCTTCAAATATGTTAAACAATGAGTTCTATTGTTTCTAGTAATTTGCTCTCCAAAATTCCAACTAGCAAGCAATACAATTAATTTGAGCCTACTAAAATGACATTGTTTTTAGTGTGTGTAAGTAGTTCTTTTCCAAATATCTAATGCATTTCAATTAGAGTAGTTTATTTAATGCTTCGACACTGTCAGCGTTTGGATTGATAAAATACTAAGAAATTTGATCTAGTAGAGCTTGAAAATTTATTCTCTAGTGTTGTTTCCTTTGGGATTCTCTTGTTTGCATACTATCGTTAGAGTATCAGGGGTAAAATTTTGACTTTAATGTACTGGCAGCAGTACCAAGTGTTTGGACCTAACTTAGTCCGATGTGGCTGATGCTAGATGTTAATAGGATTTTGTCAAGACGGAATATGAAAATTTTATTTTGTGCTCCTGTTTTGGATAATCTAATAAAGTTTCTGGTGTTTCAGAATGAGGTCAATGAAAGGGAGCTGACTGCACTTAAGGCTGTGATCAAGTGCATTGAAGACCACAAGCTTGAAGAGCATTACCCCCTGGATCCACTCCAAAAACGGGTTCTCCTGATAGAGAAGGTGAAGGCAGACAAGAAAAGGGCAACAGAAGTTGCAAAACCTCAACCCAAAAGACCCCGTGCTAATGGCGTAGGATATGTGCCCCGAGTCACTAATGTTGCCACTGACAAGAATTTCTATCCTAGAATGACCGATAGGTATCCCCAGTACATTTATGACAGACCATATGTTTACCCCGGACCAACTGACAACCATGTCCCCTCACTTCTTGGTTCTGCTACTTACAACCTATCCCCTAGTCATGGCAACTACTTTGGAAATGGCTTCCAGTACCAGGCTCCATATCTTCACTAGTTAGTAGGATGTTTAAGCTTTGATTATGATCCTCTTAACTGTTAGTGTTAACCCTTCAGTTCGTCAGATGCTGCAATGTATGATCATTAAAAAAAAAAAAAAAAAGAAAAAAAAAAATCGAAAAAAAGAAGGAAAACAACTAGCCATGTTGATCTTTAATTTGTTGTACAAGCTAATACTGTGATCCTTTTAATATATGTACTGTTTACTTTGTTGTGTAGTTATTGTTTCTCATAGCATGTTTAGGCCTTTTGTGTAGTTACCATATTTATGTTTGTATGATGCAGGTGAAGATCCTTTTGCCTATAGTAAGCATGAAATTTAGATTGTTGTGACCAAGTTACACCACTTTGTATATTCGGATGATGCGCCATGTCTAATCCTGCTGTATGTGATTCCTGCTTTCTTTGGCATTCACTGATGTTTTTGAGTAACTAATATGCTTTTCTATAGGGACTTTATGTCATAATTCCGACACAATTTCTCAATAATAATTGGTGTGTAAAATTCTTAGGTTTCAATTATAAGTGCTTATTCAATTCAGTTTTTTATTTTTATTTTTATTTTTTTTATAAAAGAAATTCAGTACTTAATTCTGAATATATTTAGTGATTATTACTCAAAAGATTAAAATATACTTCATTTGTTACTAAACCCCAAAAATAAAAAAAAATTAAAATTAAAATCATAATTACTAATTAATATTTTAGCTATTAAAATTTTCGTATTTAATTTTTAATTTTATCAAACAACAGTAAAGAACTTTTTACTGGATTATAGTAATATCATCACCGAAACTTTTGCATGTTGGAGTGATGTGTAGACATGTGGTCCTTGTTCTGCGAAGCTATTCATTTTTTTTTTTTTTTTGTAATTTTTAGCCAGCATTCTTTGGACTAGGGTTTCATTCTGTTCTCTCATGTTGCTTTACAACATGTAGTCTTAATCCATTTCTATTTTATTTTGTGCTCTCATGTTGCTTCATGCTGTCATAATGTGGGGCAAGTGTAAAGCCAAATTATCTGATTGGGAACTCTTTTATAGTAGTACTGATATGTAGGTGATTTTTTTTTTCCCTAGTTGATCTGTAGGTGAAATGATTTAAAACATGAAGGCAGTGTAGGTTTGTTTTGTATTGTAGAACCGACACATTCCAACTCAAGGGGAAGTACTGTGTTTTTTCTGGTTCGATTTCTTTAAGTTTGATGGGTCTTGCCGTCTTGGGTTATGTTTTCCAGACCAACTGAACTCGGGTTAGTTCTGACAAGTTTGTACTTGAATGAAAGGGCTTGATTAGATGGATCTCATTCTACATGTTCAAAACACAAAAGTGAACTTGAAAATCCACGAATATAGAGCTTCATCATAGCATGTAAATATTATACCAGAAAATTGCATCTCAGTGTAAGGGAGTAGAAACTGAGAATATACAGAAAAAAACCGATCCACCTTGCACAAATATGATAATAGACAAACACTACAATCAACATAGAAAGACACCATTCACAATAAGATTCAGAATAGCCAAAATGTCCAACATTGTGTACTAAAACCTAATACATTCACCAACAGGTTAGTGGCTTAACAGTACTAAGCTCCTACTTCTCAAAGAGAGGTCAGGGGTTCGAACCTCAGTTGAGTAGAGGCATGTGTGTGTGACCAACTAGGAAAAACAAAAACCTAATACATTTTGTGCTAAAAACTCATGCATCCCAAAAGAATTCCTGTGTGTGTGTGTGCTAAAAACTCATGCATCCCAACCCACCCACAAATGCCTGGCATCACTAGCATACAGGGTTACATCCATCACTAGGCGTAGACGAAAAAGATTTTCAAGCTTATGAAAATTACCTTGAAGAAGTTCACCATGTCAGACCATTGGAGAATTGATAATTACCATTGCTAAAATCCTTCACTTATTTATTTTTTCAAAAAAATCACAGCCACATGTATTTTCATATCTTAAAAGTTAAAAACATACATAGGAAGCACTCATTATTGCTTTTTTTTTTTTTTTCTTCCCAAAAAGGTTACAGCCACGTGTATTTTCAAACCTTAAAATACAACCATAGGAAACAAGTTTTCTGCACGTTACATTCCTGAATAATTGTTCCCACTCATGCAGCAGTTACAGCTTTTTTGGTTGCATTTCAATCTGCAACTTCAGTAACTGTTCGGTTAAAGCAAACTAGAAACTCGGTATTACCCTCGGCACCCTTTAGTGGAGACTCAATCCACCCTTTGCAGTGGAATCCTAAATCTTTTACGCCTTGGATGATCTTTTCAAGAACCTACATAGTAAAATCCAATCAAGAGCATATCACTCTCAAATTAAATTATAGATTCCTAAATATGCCAAAATCATCTCTCACATTAAATTATAAATACCTAAATATGTATTGATGGTAAAGAAAATAAGTTTGGAAATCTAGGCAAATATTAGAGAAATATTGGGACACAAATAAATAATAATAAAACCTTAGTATCTTCTCATCGAAGTGTGAACCAAATTTGTATGAAAGCTAGGGTGTCCTCAACATTGGTTCGATTTCAGATTCAAAAGATGGTCCTTTGAATTCAAAAAAACTTCATTAGCACTTGTCATATCTCACATTACCTCATATAACCCTTCCCTCTTTTAAGCCTGCAAAAATTACTAACTCTTTAAATTATACTCTCAATCCCTAACACATGAATCTGTTGGCAATTTGCAGAGAATATGGATCTCTTATCACCATCAACACAAACACCCCCCAAAATTAAGCCTAAACTCGGTCCGAATCCGATTCGTTTACAAGTCTACTTTTAGATATAAGTTGGAGAAGATTTCAAAACATGCAATGGAAAAATTGTGCTCATTTTAGTGCTTAAAACTCCATGTCTAATTGAAACACTTGCAAAGAAGGGGAAGATGAATTCGAAGTTACAGATAATTCTTATTTCATATTTTAAATAATGTTGTGACACGTCCAGATTATTGTCAAAAGCTCACGAATAATCAGCACCATTTAATGATTTATATCGTTCTCTGAAGATTCACTCTTAATATTAAATTTAACTTAAGATTTCTAAAATCCAAATAAAAGCTAGATGGCAGTTAGCCAACATGGTTATTCTACCAAATAAAGAACATTTCCATCCCTTTTCTAACAAAAACAAATAGATGCAAGCTAATAATTGAACATGAAGAGCACTGTTCTCTTGTAGACACTGGGCTGTGTGAAGATCAAGTTCATTAAATTAACAGAAAATTGAACAAATGCTTACCTCCTGATGGACTAAGGGATCTCTCACGATTCCTCCTCCTCCTACCTGCAACAAACAAGGACTCTCTTACATAACAAACAAAAAAGGTTATCAATACGCAATTGCCCTATGGTTACCATAAACTGACATACCATATGCAAATAAAGAAGTGCACATAAAGTAGAGTTCTGCTATTCTTTTCCAGTTTACTGGTCTTGTTGGTTTGAAAGCAACAGTTTTTAGTAAACCAAAAGTCTTTAAAAGAATGGTGTTAAGTGGATTACCGACTGGCCGAAGTATTATAAACTTTTTTCTAAATGAGAAACCAGAAATTTAGTAAACACAGGACAAAGATGGCACAATGAACAGAAGCATGATAAATCCTTCAATTATAAAGAAAAAAAGTTTAAAAAAGAGAAGAGAAAATACAACAGAGTGGCAGACTATACAATGATAACATCCCAAAGAAGTGGCCTCTATAAAGCCCCACTAGCCCTTTCCCCAATCACTTTTTAAGCTGTGCCTCCTGATAATATAACTGGCCCCTATCCTACAAAAACCTTTTATCTTCAAATTCGTATAGCGAAAACAAAAGATCTCTTTTAATCTAACCTCATCTTGTTGATAAATCTCTCCTCCAACTTTAGTAATGTTCTTTTCCAAATATAATAATAAAAACTGATTCAGCTAAACTGCAGGACATACAAAATCCATATAGACCAAGCATCAAAATAAAATAACAAGGAAAAATAGATGGCTTACTTGGGATCTGCGAGCCTCAAATTGAGGCTTAACCAGGGTAACTAATGTAGATTCTTCCTTCATTACATTTAAAACAGCAGGCATGACCTACATATAAACCAAAAAGGGAAAAGAAGGTGAGAAGGAAAAACAAAGCATTTGAAATCAAAAAGGGAAGTTCAACAACGCCAAAAACTATAAATAAAAAAAAAAAAAATCCATAAAATCATATTGATTGAGAAGGAGAATGTTCACAATACTCTTGCTCCGTATATTTAAAGCAGAACCATTTTTCAAATGTATGCAGAAAAATCAGAAGCGTATTTAAATTGGATAAGTGATTTCAAGTGACAAAGTCCACAAAATCTGTACATTGGCAGTGCGGTGTTTCAACACTATTTGAAATCTCACCAAGAGTATGGAGATGAATGAAAGGTCCAATGTCACCAAATCAACTTTTTGTGGGAGTCCAGAAAGATATCTTAAATTTGTCCGTTCTACAACACTGACACGTTCATCTCGCCGAATTTTGTCTGCCACCTAAGAAAAAGTGAGCATCAAGAATGACTGGAAAATCCAACACTGTAGCAGAAGAACATGCGAAGGCCGTAGGGGTGTGTTACAATATCCTTAAACATTCATGTTCATAACAGCAGAAATTTGCTTATACATTGAGGTTGACATACTTATCTGAACTAAACCGGATACATCTCACACTAAAAACAAGAATTTTGGTTTTATGAATAAATACTTTCAAGGTAAAGACTGAGAAACCTTCTTGATTAAAAGCCAGTTTCTTTCAAAAGCAGAGTAAAATATAAACTTGCATTTTAGAATAAAGAACTAGGTCCTGTTTTGCTCTGCAGGAGCCGATGGATGGCAGGACAAAAAATGAGCAGTTGCACATGCAAATGCAGAAAACTTAAATTAAATAAGCTAATCTATTCCGAACTGACTGAAACCATTAATGTTTGTTACAAACAGAAATATTAAAATATGAACTCCAAACAGTCTGGTTGTTTACACCAAAAGCATTCTCCAAGGAGCCTTTGGGATTGGGCGGATTTAAGGGAATCCTATTCAAGTTTTTACTTCTTTGAAGGGTGAGAAGAAAATTTAGAGGATTTTCCTTTCTGGATTATTTATCATTGGCCTTACCATGTTCTATTTGTCCCATGACGCATCTACATAAGGGTTTGACTTTCTTTTTTTTAATACAATTGGCACTAGTTGTTTAAAGGGGCAAAAAAAAAAAAAAAAAATCACGCAATTCTAACCACTTACAACTACTCTACTGATTTAACTGGTAAACTTTTTAAAGTCTTCCATCAATATGGTACTACCAGATGATGGTCCATTCAACAAGATTATCATGTATACATGGCAATGAAAAGTCATGCACTGTTGTGCATCTCGGTTTTTAGTCGTGACAGTGGTTGTGACCAATAGACTATTGCTAGTGAGTCCGTCTCATCGCATCCCCTGTTTAGGTACTAGAGATTACTTTTTACAAATTATGCCTGCTTAACCCCCCATTTAAGCAAAGTTCCTGGACAATGGCAGTACAAACCAAAAATTTCAAAAATCTCATACATTGCTTTGGCTACAGCATGTGAAATTCTAATATTTATCTATAGTGTAATAACATTTGTGACATTTCGTACTGGTATTTGCCAATTGTAAGTAAACCTTAACTACCTCCTCTGCCTGGATATATCCAAACTCTTCACTGATTCATGAGTACGAGATGTCAGAAAAATGTAAACTACCTGTCCATATCCTACATCAACTCCATAAACAAATGAAGCACCATACTGAAGCAAGCAGTCTGTAAATCCTCAGTAGACAACCCTGAATCAAGAGCTACTCTGCCAGCAACATCAACACCGAGTTGTTCAATGGCAGCCTCTAACTTATGTCCTGCTCTGGATTAGGAGAAAAATAGAGAAAGGAACAAGCTTCAGAAGTCTTCCCAAGGTTATTGCAGAAATGAAAAATCGTACAATTTTTGGGGTTATTATAGGGAGTAATCACCTACATACATATTTTGGAACTTCAGCCTTGATCTCAACTAAAGCTTTATCAGATACAGGTGTTCCAGCCTTGTTTACTACTTTTCCGTCAACAAAAACTTTTCCTGTTTTGAAAGGAGCAACATAAGTCCCAAAAAGAATCAAATGTGAGTCAATGCAAATGAAAATGGAGAAGTTGACATAGTAATAAGAAAGATATCTAGCATGTGTTTTAACTGTTTATTGAAATTATGACCTCGAAATATAATAAAACATTGAAACAAAATTCATTTAAGAGACCAAGAATGGTTGGATTGGGCAAGGTTTTTTTGAGTTGTTTCCTTAACTAAATTTCTCAGTTCCAATGTATTTATTTCTCTTCTTGCCATATCAAATATTTCTAAAGTCAAATTTAGTTTATTAATAGCTTCAAATCATAGCTAATGGACACTAGAATCCATCATCAAAAGATGTCGGTTTTGTACAAGAGCTCCAAGTCTTACAGATGGTCTGGGTAGAATACTCCTTTAACTAGGAGTCTGGTGCTGACATTGAAAACAAATTAGACGTCAAATTTTTAACAAGAACCCAAGATATATGCAATATCAAAACAAATACACTTTCATCTTTCGAGAATATTACATTAATTTTGTGATAGCATGCAATCACTGTAATTTTGGCATTCCTATATGGAAACAGCTAAACAATTACAGATATGAGGATTTAGTATGTTGCAGATGTAGATCAACTTGCCTAGTTAATGACATAAGCCCTTTTTCCAATTTTTTTTTCATCAACAATCCAAATTAAACATCAAATTTCTAAATCTTAGACAAATTCAGCAAGGCATAAAATTTCAAGATGTGTAAGGTATTATAAATTCAAAGTCTAAAATCTAGCAGACTCCACAAAATACATTTCTAGGACCCTTTTTTTAATGAGTATATCACCTTGTAGGATCCATGACTGTATGAAGGTTCGGCTGTACTGCTGAAACCTTTCAAGGCATATCTCATCCAGCCTCCTTTTCCTAGAAATGTCATCAAAGAACACAGATGGTAAAAAAGTAGATGGAAAAATAAAAAGGTTCTCTAAAGAATAGTCTATAATTATTGTACAACATTGCAATTATATTCATCTCAGGCTCATTAATAAAAATAATTTTGCTTCTGAATGTGAAAATTGACTCTCCTCCTCAAGTCATTTTTGTCATTATCACCATTACTACCATCAATACCTAAATGGAGTTTGGATGCATTTGTTCATGCTAAGGATGCAAGTATGCAACTATCACAAAATTAATAAGCATTGGTATGGACTAAATTTACACTGTTTTAAAGGTGAAAACAAATGGTGAGGCATTTTTCTCCATCTGAGATAAGGGTTAAGCCTCTCTTTTGTGGGCGGTGTGGCTGTGATTTGGTCATTCTTGGGTCTTATGTGGTATTTATAGTTGATAGTGAGGTCCTCTCTTTTGTGGGGTGTGTCGGTGTGGTTCACTGGCTGTGGGTGTGACGCGTAAAGATTTATAATTATGTACCTATTATAATAAAATAGAAGATGTGGTTGGTAATAACAGTGAGAAGTGAAAATTTATGATATATTAGGCGTAAGCGTCTGCTGAGGCATAAAAAAGGATGTTAAAAAAAATGCGCATATAATTATTCCTTGGTTCATGAGGTGTGAGCCCTAAAAGGGATGTTTGTTTAATTTTTGAAGTCTCACGAGCTCATTGAAGCAGCATCCTCAAACTTGTTTTGTACAACAACAACCAAGCCTTTTCCCCAACAGAAAAGTTTTCTAACAATATCATAACAAATGAAATGAAATGACAGTAGAAGAGTGGATATGGCCCAAATGTTCTGAGTTTTTATTAATCCCATGTTTATATATAAAAAATATTCTGAGTTCTGTCGTATATGATAGATTTGAAACAAAATTGGAAACCTACAATTGTATTGCATTAACAAATTGGGTGTACATTATATATATACATATATAACTGTATATGTATACACGTGCTTAGATAGAGAGAAAGCTCACTTCTTCTGAGGTTGAACCTTTCCTGATCTGTCAGCAGTAGCGGTAAAGCTTCTACTGGGATAACGCATGTGGGCCTTGACCCATCTCACTGAAATCAAAAGAGCTAATTAGAACACAATCTACAATTCATCTAGGCGGATATAAAAGTTTGGATTTTCTCACTAGTTCATGCAAGATACACAACACAAACGGGTCGAATAAGGATGCATATGGACTTCCCACCGGAATGGGATGGTATTCTTTACATTTTCCATAGCAGTTGAAAACAGAAGGGCAAAGGCAAGTGATAAAGTAGAAATTGGAATGATAGACTAAGTTCCATAAAGCAATCGCATGAGAGCCTCAATTCCAAATGCTCAAGGAAAAACATAGATAGATAAATATAATTTTTTTGGAAAAGATAAAGCTGGACAGTGGGTATCGGAAAGAAAAGAACAAGAAATTATAAAGACGAAGGGGAATAAAGAATTATATTACACAGTAAATAAACAAACCAAAGAAAATCTTTAGCGAAAACAAGAAATTGGGTGTGTGTGGAAACTGTACCCTCAGAGCAAAGAGAAGTAATATAACGGCTTGATATAGGAAACTTCAGCACCTGCAGTGACATCTTTTTGCATCCCCTTTGATCCTGTCACTGCCAGAACACAAACTTCAGTGTAACTGTGTGTGTATGAGAGCGACCTTATCCTCCTAGATTGCCGTTCAAGATTATTGCGGCTTGAGCCAGAAGCGAGGCTAAATTTAATTAGGTATTAGGTATTGGTAATTTAGGTGGGTCTGAAACCACCGGCCCATTGGGCTCATGGTATCCCAGATAAGTCTATGCCTGTGATTAAATTTATTTTTATTTTTATTTCAATATTGATTAGTAATTTGAAGAATCATTTTCTTAAGAGGTCAGATGTAGTTCTTCTATATCTATATCCAATTTATTTATTTATTTTTGGGTAAGGTGCAAAAAAAAATAAAAATAAAAAAACTCTCAAATTATATCCAAATTTGCACATAACTTCATTAAAGTAAATTTTGTACATAATACTCTTAAACTATAATATTTTGTTATAAAATGCGACTATTTTATTTATTAAGTTACCAAAATATTATTTCTTATTGAATCAAGCTTAATTTAGTTTTCTTATTGGAATAAATTATGAAAAAATTCATTCTAATTTGATGACCTATTATTCCTTTAATTTTTTAATTAATTATTTAAATAAAAATCTTAAATAAAAAATTTTAAAATTATTTAATTAATTTCTTGAATATATTGTATAAAAAAGAAATTAATTAATTATTTAAGTAATTTATTAATTTTTATGGTAAAAATGTTTAAACTAAGTATAATAAATTTAATTATTAATAATAAATTAATCATTTTATAAAATAATAGTTACAAATTTATTTTTCTTAATGATAAATTGATACTAAATATAAAATAAAATAAAATATTATAATTAATATTTAGATAAGAGAAAAAATAATAAAAATAATTTAATAAAAAATTTTATAAGAAAAGGTATAATAATATTTTGTAACAAATTTATCTTTAATGAAAGAAATGAAGGCTGGTAAGGAAAGAAAAGAAGCGTCTAATTCAAACAGGGAAAATAAAGGCAGCGTTAAAAGAACGCCTTAATAAAAGGATGTATATAAATGCATGATATTGGCGGTGGATTTGAACCAGAGAAACCCTATCCCTCCACTCGAAAATAAATGGCTCCAACGGTCTTCAACTGTCCTCCTGGGTTCAAGACCAGACGACTCTCATCTCGCGTCGTTAACATTGTTCTTTCTCCACTCGTCGTCACTCACAATGTCTCTTACCATATCATCATCGCTTGCATGTGGCTTTCTGAAATCAACGGCTCTAAATGTCCGCAGAAGAAAATCTTCCGGACTCAGTTGCCGATCATCCATTGATGACGTAAGCTTTTTCACATCATTAAACTCTCTTCTCTCATTTTTCATGATTTTGATGGTAATATTTTGATGAATATTGTAGGATTATCTGTTGGATGCTCCTACTTCAGTGGGAGATGGCTTTTCTTTCAGCGGAGGTTTGATTTGTTTTCTTTTTCAAAATTTTCCAAAAAACGAAATTTGATGAAGAAAATTATACTTTCTTCTTGGACAGGGAAGTATTCAGATGGGCCTAATCCAGCGGATGAATGGTTCAAGAAAGGAAAAATCGTAAGTCTTGTTTGGGATTAGGTTTTTCTGAAATTTTTAGGGTATTTCTTGAAATTATTTTTATGTGACATTAGTATTTGAGGCAGTTTATTTTTTAAGGAAAAGAAAGAAAGATTAAACAGAGGACAGTTTTACAGAGGCAATTTTGTATTAAAGAATTTCATGGTGTAATATACCAGAGATTATTTTGTTGCATTAAAGGGTAAGGGCTATACTAACTGAAAATATGAAAATGGAATAGTTAAAATTACTTATTTCGAGAACCCTCTTTCTACTTTCATTATCTAATTGTTGTGGTCTACTCTGAAGAATGATGGTCCTTAATGCATCTACTTTAGTTTGTAACAGTATACCATACGGCAAAACATGTCTTCATTTTTTATTTTTTCATTTTTATTCAACGTGTGCCTAAGTATGCCATTTCTATTATTGCATCTGAGAATCAAGTAGCTCATTTGGAACTTTTGATATTGGTTCTGGCTGTATTTACCATGCTTGTCGGATGTCTATTTGCCTAAATTTCATTTGGATGCTTTGTGTATCATGTTGACATTAATAGTCATTGGTCATTATCAGGTGAAAGCTCATCCTGTTTTTGGCTCTGGCGACAAAGCAAAGGATCCAATTTTTGGTCTTACAATGGGTGGGGGATCTCAGGCTTCTACTGATGTCTTCAGGTGAATTTATAAGTCTTTAAGACTCAGGAGTCTCCTAGTTTTTTTATATAGGATGTCAACATGCTATAATTTTATAGTGGTTTAGGACTTCATGTTATGCAGAAATTGACGATGGAATATTTGCAAGGTTTACCGTTTGAAACATGATCTATATATATGAAATAGATGGTTTTGCGTTGAAAGCGGAAGTGATGACAGTCCTCCAATTATATTAATTCATGGTTTTCCTTCACAGGTGAGTCTTATTTTGTTGAGTGATTTGTTCAAAAATACAATTAAGTTACCATCTTTGTTTGAGTGTTTTGATTATCTAAATTAACCTAGATAACTGTGGCATGACATAATTACTGGAAGCTTTACCCTGGGTTTGTATGATGTTGCAACAAGGTCAAAGGAGGTTGAAGTTGAAACCTTGATAATTACCAAAAAGCCAAAAAAAAGAAAACTAAGAAGAATTCTTGACAAGGCTCTTTTCAATTTAGCGTTGCATTTTAAACATCACATTACAAATGGTAGCTAAGGTATTCAATGATTTATGCATAATGTTGGAATAGTAATGTACTTAATTTATTCTTGCTCAATGTGTGTTCATGTATGTGGTGATTATGAATTTTACACTTGTTTTGTTTATTCAGTTTTTTTATTTTTATTGGAGTCTCAATTAATGATGATTGTACCCTTCAAAGATATATAATTATCTTCAGTATAATTTGAGCTAGTGTTTGCTTCTGCTGCTCAAGAGCTGAATGGCGAAGATTGAGTATATGCTTTAGCATTGCAAACTCGAAGAAAGATTTTTCATATTTTAAATCACCGCTTATAGTTGTGTTTCATATAAGAAAGGGCTGAGATGAATTTCTATTTCTAAGAGTAATCTTTGAAGGATGCAATGAAATTATTTCTTCCTTTGTTTAAGATAAATAAAAAAAGACATCATCATTGTAATATTATTGTTCTGAAACATATTGATCTTTAGGCAACTGCTAAATTACTTGCATTCTTTTTTACTCAACACAAAGAACAATTTTTAGGTTTATATATGACTAGGAGGACTTTCAATTGATCATACTGTGAACTTTTGAGACTAATAAAACACTCTCGTTGTTGCTAATACAGTTGTATGGAAGGGTGGTAGGCTCTATTTGATGCAGCATGGGCACCATGTTTCTAACGGATATTCTGAAAAAGTAGCAAACAGAACTAGTCTTTTCGAGCATAATATAATATCTTTTTAAACATAATGATTGCATATTCTCTATGATTTGAATATGCCACTTGAAAAGCATTTCTCGTTCTTTCCTCCTACTATGTAACCGTTAAATTGCTTGATGCTAAGGTATACCCTTTACATTTTCTCATTCTGGGCAGTTATTCGATGATATGTTATATGTTTTGCAATATTATTGGCATTGCTGGTATTGCATGGAGATGTCTATGTGATACCACAATTAATTTGAATTGCAAAGACTTGCCTAGAAATGACATGGCCTTTGAAAAGATGGATTGTCCAATCAAATATGTCTGCTATAATGTATATTAGAATAATACTTATTAGTTGATCAGAAATTACTTGGTACAAATCAAACTGAACATTCCTTGAATTATTTCATGTTTAGAACTCCTCTTTGGTTGCAACCATTTTAACCCAACATTTCCAAACAAGGTTGGTTTCGATTATCAAATTAGATGTGCATGCATGTCTTTTTCTCAATTATGCCCATTCTTCATTTTGCAAAAAGATAATAATTCTTTTGTTCCTATCAAGGTTGAAAGCTTCTTCTGGGGTCTCATTTACTCATTTTGCCAACTAGAAAAGAATAAAGAGGAAAAGAAATAAGTACCTGGAGGGACATTCCTTGAATTATATCATGTTTAGAACTCCTCTTTGGTTGCAACCATTTTAACCCAACATTTTCAAACAGGGTTGGTTTTGATTATCAAATTAGATGTGCATGCATGTCTTTTTATCAATCATGCCCATTCTTCATTTTGCAAAAAGATAATAATTCTTTTGTTCCTATCAAGGTTGTAAGCTTCTTCTGGGGTCTCATTTACTCATTTGCCAACTAGAAAAGAATAAAGAGGAAAAGAAATAAGTACCTAGAGGGACATTCCTTGAATTGTATCATGTTTAGAACTCCTCCTTGGTTTCAACCATTTTAACCCAACATTTTTAAACAGGGTTGGTTTCGATTATCAAATTAGATGTGCATGCATGTCTTTTTCTCAATCAGGCCCATTCTTCATTTTGCTAAAAAATAATAATTCTTTTGTTCCTATCAAGGTTGTTAGCTTCTTCTGGGGTCTCATTTACTCATTTTGTCAACTAGAAAAGAATAAAGAGGAAAAGAAATAAGTACCTAGAGTTCTCTATTTTTTCTGTTAATTTGTCTCCAAGCCCCGTGAGCGTCCTGAATTTTGAAATGTTCTTTACTTTCTAACAAACATTAATCACAATTTTCTCATGCTGATATTGAGAAAGTAAAATACTTGTAGTTATAATTGCAAAAATGTATCTAGGCTGTGTTTGTTTTTATATAATATGTGACTGATTTCATGTGCGTGTAATATACATATTCATTCTAGTTTCCTTTTATCATAATCCGGTTGATTTGATAACCACACGATTTATTATCATCCATATCACTGTTAATGTTAAAGTAACGTGGAGGTTGATTGCAGACTATTATCATTTCTGGGAACTTCTGTTAAGTTTTTACCTCAAATGTTTTTCTTTTCATACTGTCACAGGCATATTCTTATCGCAAAGTTCTTCCCGTGCTCTCCAAGGACTATCATGCCGTTGCTTTTGATTGGCTTGGTAAGATTTTATTAATTTCAGGGAAAACTAATTTTTAAAGATTAGTGTTTCATCTCCTTAAGAGATTTTTCTTTAAATTCCTGTTCATTTTTTATGATCTTTGAAAGTAACTACCACTTGGACTAGAACTATTGAAAATGCACTTATAGACTCCAAATACACAATTTATTGATTAGATAATCTTAGCAATGCAATGTCTGTCTTACCTTTGTGGCCCTTCTCTGTTAAATAATTAATACTTGAAGTATTGATAATTTGTCATGGTCTAAGTGATGTTTCAATATGATGATTTGTCATGCTCAATTATTCACATAAATGTTCATTATAAGCTAACATATAAAGAAAATACTGCATTTATTTCTTTCTTACAGGATTTGGGTTTTCAGATAAGCCTCAGCCCAAATATGGTTTTGACTACACATTGGATGGTAAATGCCTTTTTATTCAGATAAAATATGGCAGGACACAGGCTGTAGGTTAATTTAGTTTTAAAAGAAAAAGATTAAGAATATCCGCTTTAAATTTTTTGTTGTGGCTTGCAGAATATGTCTCATCCTTGGGATCTCTTATAAATGAACTTTCCACCAGTAAGGTTACAATTGTTGCACAGGTATATTTGCCATTTTTGAATTTAGATGCAGGGTTACTGGTCAAGCTACACATTTTTTACAAGTAGCTGAAAAATAATTTCGTTATATGCCATGTTTTGCAGGGTTATTTTTCTCCAATTGCTGTTAAATATGCTAGCAGTCATCAGGAAAAGATTAACAATCTCATACTTCTTAATCCTCCTGTATGAACTACTCTACTCTAATCTTAGAATTCAGTTTGTCAATTTGTACTTGGTGATATTCATTCTATTGGTCTTATTATTTTGCTTATACAAGCTTGTGAAGTTTGGAATAATGATAAATAGGAAAACTACCAATAATCCCCGGAAGTTTCTGAAACTAGTATTAATCTGCCATAAGCTTTCTAAAATAAGATATCCCACTCTTGAGGTTTCTGATATCACTACCAAACTCTGCTGAGTTTGGCATTAGCTCACCCTTAACTTCCTTCCTTTTGAGTTCTCTTGTGATAGTTTTTTCTTTATCTTTTTATTTTTTATCTTCGTGGTTGTTTTGCCTCTTGTCATTTAAAAAAATTGAGTTGATAATGACTACACCATAGATGTAAAAAAATTGGTATGGTATTTTGGTCCGTGCAAGGTAGTGTGCAAGCCTCAATTCGTATGGCACAAATGTTTTGATTCTTTATTATTTTATTGCAAGCCTCAATTCGTATGGCACAAATGTTTTGATTCTTTATTATTTTATTGCAAGCCTCAATTCGTATGGCACAAATGTTTTGATTCTTTATTGTTTTATTCCAAGAATTGGAATGTCAATTTTTGTGAGAATAGTTAACAAATGTAGACATTTATATTCCACATTCATTAATTTGTATGAAGTTTCTACATAGACACACGAACAATTGCATAACTTTTTTTTTTTGATAAGTACTAACAATTGCATAACTTGGTACATTTAAGAATTTGTTCGAGTAAAATAAAAGGCGTGGAAGAAATAAATGTGGGTAACATGTTACTAAATACAACAACTAAGATATGCAACATTGTTTGTCACTTTGAATCCTAATGAAAGAACCATAATATCCGGTCACATAAATCTTAATGGCTTGGCATCTAGCACATCCCTTGAGTTGGTGCAGGCATGATATAGGCTTTTTAAAAATATGGATTGAACCACTCCCTCAATGGTTTTCTCACAGGAGAAATTACGGGAGGATATCTGAGTGCAAGTCTATGCGAACTTGAAGGTGGTCTGTTATGTTATAAAAGCCTGTAGGAGCATGAGTGTAATTCTAAGAAACCTCAGGAGGCTCTGTAATTTAAATTTATTCGAGACCACAATTCTGGATACCAAAGAAATGTCTGTCGATGTATTATGATGTCTACGTAAACATATATTTTTGTGATGCAAGAGTCATGTGTAATTATTTGTGGCTTTTTAGAATAATAAAACCTAATTTTGTTCTTTATCTGGTGCATTGTAGCTAACAGCCAAACATGCCGACTTACCGTCAACATTGTCCATATTTAGCAACTTTTTGTTAGGTGAAATTTTTTCTCAGGTAAGGAAGACTACACGAGAGTTATATTTTGTTTTTTTCTTTGTAGTTGTACAATTTTACAGATTCGTTGGTTCTTAATAATTGAATGCGTATAACTAGATCAGTAAACTTGCTTTTCTCCTAAGCAGGATCCTCTAAGGGCCAGTGATAAAGCCTTGACAAGCTGTGGTCCTTACAAAATGAAAGAAGATGATGCAATGGTTTATAGAAGACCTTATCTCACATCCGGTTCCTCCGGATTTGCATTAAATGCGATTAGCAGGGCGATGAAGAAGGAACTAAAGGTGCACTTTTTCCTTTCTGTTGGTCCTTTTTCATCTAGTTGGCGTGGAATTTAGTCTTCTAAATTATTCTAGGTATTATGTAACAATGAACTTAACACTGCTGGTGGTAGTTTTTTTTCACCTGCAAGTCTTAAGAGAGAGCTTGAAAAATTAATTTCGAAATTAGAGAAAAAATGGGGTGGAGGGGGGGTTAAATTTCAATGCAAATTTTTACTATAATGACATTAATATACCTTTAGGTGTTTTCCTGATTTCGTCTAAGCAACACTAGCATTTCTGCAGAAGAACTGTTCACTGCCCCTCTAGATCACTGGCCCTATCATGGCCTATTCACTGCCCCTCTAGATCTAGATAAAGGGCTTTGCACTACTCTTTATCATAGCTTAGGGTTCCAGTCCCACATTCCTCGATAGGAAATTGGCTTCATACCCAGAGTTCTTCGATGCCCCTCTGATGTATTCAACATGACTATGAAGTGTCGTCAATGTTTTCATGTTTTATGAAAATAGCACGAATCATTGCCTCATTTGTCTCTCTTTAAAAATGCTAAACTCACCACAAGGTGTTAGATTGAATGGTACCTATAGCCACTCCCAAATGGAGAAGTGCAGGTTTCAAGTCCCAATTGGATGCTAGTGTGTAACAAGAAATACATGCATAAAATAAGGAGATATAAGTGAAGGCTAACCAAACTTGGAGGACTTGAGATGATTTTTTGAAGGTTTGTTAGATAGAAGATTCATAAGCAGTAGCTTATACCCAGCCGCTCCTTTTTCTTTCTTTTTTTTTTTTTTTTAAGTAAAATTTCCATCCAGCCACTCCTTTTAGGAACCAACATGATGGAAAAAGGAAATAACAGCATGTCAGTGTCAAGGCACTTTCAAGCAGGTCACCAGTAGGCATTGATACTTTCTTAACTTATGAAGCAAAGCGAGAAAGCCAGCTCTTGTTCCTAATGATTGCCCCAAGAACTGTTTTGGCACCTTTTGAGTATTACCGCCGGTGCAGGGATGTTTATTTTATAGTTCTTCTCAGGAAGCAGAGGGTGTCTTGGGCACCCCCAGGACACAGAGTCACTGATATGCTGAGAGCGCTCGTTCGGCATACTATGGATACGTTAAAGTTTCTTTTCATATAGAGAAGATAGGTATTGCTGTCCATGTTTTGTTGTTCAATAATTCTGTGTTCTGTATTGTATTATGAAGCACAAAAGCATTTAAAAGGTAACAAACTTGAGTCTTTTATCAAGAAACAATTTGTTGCGGGCCATTTTGGCCTGCGCCATGCCACTCCTACTTTATAATCACATAATCAGTTACAATGCTTGCTCAGCTGGGTAATAAATTGAAATATCTTTGTTGTGGTTTAATATGGAAATAATTTATTGTTTCAGTGTACCTGGGACTGGAATAGAATGGATCTCCTTACAGATAGAAATGGCAAAGCCGAGGCCCTATTAGTTGTTATATTAGATATTGTTATACTTAGTAAGAGGCTAAAAGCTAGGTCAATAATGAGTTTTGAATGCTCCTTGTTTTTTTAAAGTTTAAATGCTCCATTGGATGGGTCGTATAGAAATTGTTAAGACTGTATATAAAGACTATTATTAAAATGAAAGTTTTAAAGGCAAATTTGAGGTTCTGCATATGGCGATGTTTTCCACCTAGATGGCATCAAAGGACATGAGAGACAGACATTACAATATTTAAAAACACTGGGCCTGGATACAACAAATTCTAAAAAGGTTGGACACAAACATGAATAGGACACGATTTTTTTTTATATTTACTAAAAATTAAGTCTATGCTAACAATAGCATAACTTGGAAGATGATGTTCAGCAAATATCATTCGCATCAGCCTTTATTTTTATTACTGCTAGTGTTCTCTTATTATACCCCTTCTTTAACTGTTATCTTTTTATTCTCTGTTAAAAAATTAAAAAGATTATATTGAATGCTTGACTTGATTTGGCCATGTTTATAATATTAAATTTCTTTTGAAGAAGTACTGAGACACATTTGTGCCATGTTCAATATGTTTCTAGGAGTGTCCTGTTCGATCCATTTAGAACATGGACCTGTTTCCTCTTAAGAATTTTCACGCTTTATTGTTTTCCATGTTGGAGTTCTCTAAATTATTCAGCCTTCACGCAGAAACCTGAATATCATTTCTTGCTTTCTTTTTCTCTTTTTTCTTTCCAATTTTTGTTGGATGGAATCCTGAAAATGACCATACATTGAGCACAAGATATTTTGGTAGAATACAATGCACTTACAATGCATGCTTTAGAAAACTTCAGCTTACGTTCACTATGCCAGGATTTGGGGACCTACGTTATTGTCCTATTTTTTGACATGTTGATTTACCTTTATAGCATCTCTCTTTCATATGAGTAGGTTTTTGTGAATTCTGAAAGCTGCAAACCTTAATATACGCTTTTAATGAAATATGCTATTTTCTTTTTGCTTTTCTTTTAAATAAAGTGTTTTCATCTTGGTTACTAAGCAGGCCTATGTTGAAGAACTGAGGATGACGCTCATGGATGAGAATTGGAAAATTCGGACTACTATATGCTGGGGCCTAAGAGACCGCTGGTTAAGTTATGATGGAGTTGAAGCTTTTTGCAAAGATTCAAAGCTTAGACTGGTTGAACTTCCAATGGTACTAACAGTTCTTTATAACTAATGTTTAACATTTTATCATCCCTTAAAACTCTAGTTGCTTTTGTTGCTGCTGTTCGTTTGCAAGCTTTCACACACTATGTGCATGTTCTTTACTGCATACTAGTCATTTAAGGGAGCAGCTCTACTGTAATCTTTTTACTGCAACAGTTGAAATTAGCAGTTTGTCATATATCATACTTGCACATCTTTATTGCAAAATTTGGGTAGCAAGGTCGGTGGTGTTTTATGATCTATAACTGAAAGATCCATTCACAAACGTTCCACTCACCTTGTTAATGAAGGGAGAGCTGTGTCAACAAATGTTTGGGAAACAACTATTCGAGCCAAGTTCATAGTTTAGCTGCATATTTTTTGTTCTTTCTTTGTCTTTGGTTACTTGTTTGGTTGCAATATTTTAGTTGCATACTTCTTTGTGATAAAAAAATTCATTTATCTTGTTAGTACCCAATTTTTGTGGGGAAGTTAGGAGGGGCCAAGTGTGTTAGGGTTGTTATTCTCATGTATATTGTTTCATTCATTGCTGAGAAAAGGAAAGAAAGAACGGTATAACAATTTTAGTTTAGTTTTTTTCATTAAATGGGGATTAAGAAAATAAAACCTTCCCAGTAATCCAATGTTAGGCTTCATGAATATGGATTTTATAGTATACAACCATTTATTATCATGCTCCTTGTCAATTTTATTTTCTGGAACTGATCCCACTTGTAGAATTGTATTTAAAGCAAGTAGTTTTCTTTAGTCTCTTCAATTCTCTAGGCTGTTTCCATGGATTAGAATTCCTAGTTAGGTTGCGTTTGCACCTTCAGTTAACTGCTTGGTCGTCCTTATCTACCTCTCAGCGCACAATGGCTGGATTTGCTTTTATACCATCGACAGAATCTTGAAATGCAGCTACATAAAATAAAATAATCAATTTACTTTGGCTCAACTAAATATTTTGTTGCGCAGCACAAACCTCTTCTATTTTTTATTTTTAATTTTTTATTTTATTTCGTAGTTAGCACAAACCTCTTCTAAATGCCTTCTTTTACATTATTTTGTAAAAAAATCAGTTAATTTGTTGCTTTTGCAGGCAGGTCATCATGTGCAGGAAGATTTTGGTGAAGAACTAGGACAACTCATTGCTGGATTAGTTAACAAGAGGAGTTAAATTGACGCCCTCTTGAAATTGTTCATTGAAGAAGATTGTGGTGAAGAAGCAGGACCACTCATTTCTGGATTAGTCAACAAGAGGAGTTAAATTTGACGCCCCATTGAAATTGTTCATTGACACTAAGTGCCCTAAAAAATGTTTTGGTGTGCTGGCTTTTGATGAATCGCATTATGTGTATGTCCTTTGCACTTGATGAATCTATATATCTGTTACATCTTAAATTCTCAATATGGATGAGCCTGCGTTCAGGGATTGTTCTTTGTTATCATTCATCATATTGTCTTTATTTTCCCCCTAAATTATTCCTATGTTGATTTATAGGAGTCTGAAACACAAGATGTCATTTTGAGTTCTGTTGTAATTGTTTTTTCTTTATCTTTTTTTTTTTTTTTTTTTTTTTTTTTTTTTATCTTCGTGATTGTTTTTCCCCTTGTCATTTTAAAAATCGCGTTGATAATGACTAGACCATAGATGCCAAAAAATGTTTTGATTCTTTATTTTTCTATTCCAAGAATTGTTATGTCAATTTTTATGAGAATAGTTAACAAAAATAGATGTTTATATTCCACTTTCATTAATTTGTATGAAGTTTCTACATTGAAACATGAAAACATGCATAACTTGGTACATTTAAGAAATTTGCTAAATGGAACATTGTTGGTCACTTTGAATCCTAATGAAAGAACTATAATAGCCGGTCACATAAGGCCTAAATCTTAATGACTTGGCATCCAGCACATCCGTCGAGTTGGTGCAAGCATGATATAGGCTTTTTTAAAATATGGATTGAACCACTCCCTCAATAGTTTTCTCACATGAAAAATTAAAGGAGGATAACAGAGTCTAAGTCTATGTAAATTTTAAGGGTGCATAAAAAAAATTATGGAATCGAATGAATCAGACCTAATCGGGACTTCGATTTTCACGATTTCGGTCCCGATTCCTAAAATGAGGGTCCCAGTTACTAAAATGAAAAGCTATTAAATTTCGATTCGGTTTTGATTTCGCTCTCTCAGTTTCGGTTAACCATAATATATATATAAATCTTAATAACACTTAGCTTAGCACCCCTTCGTTTGTAGCCGATAATGGTCAATGTAGTCAACATTTGCAATTGCTGATGGAAGCAACTTTTATCCTTTGATGTTCCTAAATTGCCCCTTTAATTGTTGTAAAGACAAATATGACCTTTTCTTATTTGAGTAAAATTCCCAAAAACCTAGCCCTCTACTTTTGAGTTCCCTTGAGAGACTCAGCCATGGATTTTATTTATTTATTTATATATATATATTTTTGTAAGTTAAGCCATGGCTGTTTGTTTGTTTTTTTTTTTTTTTTTTGCTATTGAACACGATGCAGTATTATATAGTATTGTGTATGTTAATTTGTAAAAAGATGCAATAGCACATATTATATATATATATATATATATATATATATATATATATATATATATATATTATTGTGTATATTGATTTGTAAAAGGATATAATATAAACTAGCGTTAAAAAGATGCAACAGAACGTGGGTCATTTACCTCCCAAAAAAAAAAAAAAACAGAACGTTTGATTCAATATGGAGTATTATATATTAGGCATGTTAACTTGTAGTATGATTAACAAAGCACGCGTACATACAATTTTGGGTAAAGTACACCATACTTCGGTTTGGCAAAAGAATCCTCTGAGAAATCTTACCTGGTTTTTAGACAAAGATATCCTGAAAGTTCAAAAATGGACAAAGATACCAATTCACATGAAAAATTAATCAAATTACCCTTTGACTGTTTAGGAGACTTTTTTAACTTTGCAATGTAATAAATTGGGCCAATCTACTCTCATGAATAATTTATGCATAAAAAAAAGTTAAAAAAAAAAAAAAAACTTCACTTTTTTTTTTTTTTTTTAACTTTATAAATGTCCCAACTTTTTAAAAATGTAGACGTCTAAAATGATTTTTTGATTCAATACATATATTTTCAATAAATTATATTTTGTTATTACTTCTTTTTATTTTTATTTTTTATTTTTAAATTAAGATGTTTAATCCTTTCATCTAAAAAAATTAAACCAATCTCTTTTTCTTAAAAATAAAAAATATGGTACCAGTATAACTTTATGCATCTTAAATTATATATCAAACATTATGCATTTTCCAATATAAAAGAAAATAAGTACCAATATAACTTTATGCATCTTAAGTTTATGCATGTCTTTGTTTTTTTTTTTTTTTTTTTTTCCCTTTGTTTTATTATTATTTTTTCCCCTTTGTTTTATTATTTTTTTCCCTTTTTTTTTACCCCTTTGTTTTTTTATTATTTTTTTTCTCTTTGTTTTATTATTATTTTTTTCCCTTTTATGTTGGGAATGCATAATATTTGATATATAATTTAAGATGCATAAAGTTATACAGATACCATATTTTTTATTTTTAAGGAAAAGAGATTGATTTAATTTTTTTAAATGAAAGAATTAAGAATCTTAATTTAAAAATAAAAAAAGAAAGAAAAGAAGTAATAACAAAATATAATTTATTTGAAATATATGTATTGGATCAAATAATTATTTTAGACGTCTACATTTTTAAGAAGTTGGGACATTTATAAAGTAAATAAAAAAAAAAAGTGAACAATATAAAGTTTTTTATATTTTTGTTACTTTTTTTTTTTTAATGCATAAATTGTTCATGAGGTAGATTGGTCCAATTTATTAAATTATAAAGTTAAAAAAGTCTCCTAAATGATCAAATAGTAATGTAATTAATTTTTCATGTAAAGGGGTGTCTTTATCCATTTTTAAACTTTTAGAAGGTGTCTTTGTCCAAAAAATAAATAAGTTTCTGAATATCTTTTTACCAAATCTTAGAAAGTGTGACTATACTTTACCCTATAATTTTTGATTCATGGTCGCGGCTCTTGGATTTTGCTGATCTCTCGAACCCAATTCCCCATCTATCTATTTTTTTCACGGCTCTTGGGTTTTGCCCGGTTAGGTGGCACCTTTAAGTGGCGGAGATATGTGTGATATATATATATATATATATATATATATATATATATATGTGTGTGTGTGTGTGTGTGTGTATGTATATATTTATATGTGTGTGTATATACTCTAGTTTTTAGCTCCCACCTAGTGGCTTTGAAACCCTAAATTGGAACCCTATAATTGATAGGATAGATGAAGGGTAGAACTGAGAATAAATTACCATAAATATATTGAGGTCAGTTATGTAATTCCACTCGAACACTAATGGCATCCAACTAATAACAAGGTCAGTGTTATTTGACTGAACCTCAGGGGAGGTCAGTGTAATTTTTCCTATACTAGGCATTCGCTTCTTGTCCATAAAACCTAAACCTATTACCTCCCAAACTCCGCCTACCCTCCTCAGCTCCTCTCACCGTCTCACGATCTCATCTGTTTACAACTTGCATATCGTTTCAGATTGTTCAAAAAATCAAAACCCATATCTTTCAGTTTCCATCGCACGCTGTTCCAGCTCGGGTTCGCCTTTCGCAAGCTTCAGCCGCTGGCCCAATGTCTCTCGACTATCAAGCTCTCCCCCTCTCTCTCTGCAACTGCTAACTTGTATTTATGGGTTTTGTTTTAATTTTTTTTCTAAATCAACTAATCCGTAATTCTTGTTTTGCAAATATATATATATATATATATATATATATATATATTTCTATAACTTCTATTTTTTTTTTTTTTTTTTCTTCTATTTCTGCTTTCAGATATCCTTTTTCTTTGTGGAGAATTTAGTGAATATGTAGATCCTACACTGAATCTTGTTTGAGATTATCTTTGTTGGAAGTTAATATTTGCTTTAAGAAAGAAAATTTGTCTCAATTCAATGTTGAGATTTTCGTATTTCAAATGATGGTCGGTTGCATGGTTGATTCAGTTTTTTGTAAGTCTCATAGACTATCAGACTATAGTAATTCAGAATTTCAGTATCACAAATTCAGTACCATGCAATGTAATATTATTTTATTGACAATCAGTTTGCTGTATTTATTTATGTTTTTATTTTTGTTATTGTATTTTGTTTAAGGGAAATACAGAAAATTAATCTTGAATTCAGCTACAGGAGCTTCATATCAGTCAACGGTTCCGTGGAATCAGGAACCGAACCGTGAATGCCAGTTCGGTCCGGTTCTATATACAACTGTTCCGGTTCCATTTTTAAGGAACCATTGAGATCGATACCGGTTACCGAACTGCACCATGTGCACCCTAGTGAAACAAAACAGACCTTCCTCAAGTTATGATTTATTCTAAGAAACCTTAGGGGCTTGTAATTTAAATGTATTCGAGACTACAATTCTGGATTCAAAAGAAATGTCTGTCTATGTATGATGATCTCTCCGCAAACATATATTTTTATGTTGCAAGATTCCTGCATAATTATTTGTGGCTTTTTAGAATAATAAAACCTAATTTTGTTCTTTATCTGGTTCATGTAGCTAACAGCCAAACATACTGACTTACCGTCAACCTTGTCCATATCTAGCAACTTTTTGTTAGGTGAAATTTTTTCTCAGCTACACGAGAGTTATATATATATATATATATATATATATATATATTGTATAATTTTTCAGATTCGTTGGATCTAAATAATTGAATGCTTGCTCTTCTGCCAAGCACGATTCTCTATACGTGTTTTTAATTTTACAAATTTTTTTGGTTCTAAATAATTGAATGCTTATAAATTGATCAGTAAACTTGCTCTTCTGCCAAGCAGGATCCAAACTGTGGTCCTTACAAAATGAAAGAAGATGATGCTATGGTTTATGGAAGACCTTATCTCACATCCGGTTCATCCGGATTTGCATTAAATGCAATTAGTAGGGCGATGAAGAAGCAACTAAAGGTGCTCTTTTTTCTTTCTCTTGGTCCTTTTTCATCTAGTATGCAGTATAGAAACTCGAAATCGGTATAGTGGATCCCTCACATTTGATCCTGAAATAAGGAGAAGGAGAAGATTATGTACCACGGCATAACCCCTCACCAACAGGCGACAAATATTGATGATGAAGAAGCCGGTGTTACCAATATTGATGATGGTAGTTGAAAGCCCTCAAGGGTGGGGTGAGACCTCCAAGGACCTAAACAATGCATAAACAAGGAGTTGTTTTTGTTCTGCAACTTCCATGACTATAGGGAAGGGTTTGGGTGCAATCGGTAATGCCTCCGGCAACTCAGTGAGTTTTCGAAACACGGGAACTTGAAAGATCTGGTAGGGAACTTCAGCGTCGTATAACTACAATAGAGATACAAATTTTATCCGATCAAATCACAACCCACCTTTGTATAACATGACTGTGGTGGTGGTTGAGATCCAATGTACTCCTTCCTATCAAACCCTTCCACAAATTTGATACCGTGTTTGGAAAACTCACTGAGTTGCCGAGGCATTACCGATTACACCCAAACCCTTCCATGAAGTCATGGAGAACAAGAACAACTCCTTGTTTATGCGCAACGCAGGTTTAGGTCCCACCCACACTCTTGAGGTAAATATTGGTAACACCGATTTCTTCATCATCAGTATTTGTTGGTACCTGAGGGTTTATACAGTGGTACATAATTTTCTCCTTATTTCAGCATCAAATGTGAGGGATCCACTTAACGATTTCGAGTTTCTATACTGCAAAATCTCTTCCACTTATCATTCAAGCAACAAGTGGGAGAGGTTGATTATGGCAGAAGAATCAACATATTACCCTTTCTTAGGAAAAGCTGAGTTTGTGGACGGAGTTATTTTTTCTTTCTCGGCCGGCGGAGGTTCGTCTACTCTCTATATCACCTCCTGTGCTACTTTTCATATTTGGGGTTCCGGAAAAGAGTCGTTGAGGTGTCTGATGATATCAGATCTCTAACCCTCATTAGTTCCCGAGTATGCACTCTTGACATCACCGGACTCGACTGTCAGCTTTTCGTCTACTAAGCTCCTGTTGTGTTGCCCGTGCTTAATTATGTCATAGGTTGTAGATAACAGTACTTGTAGGTTTTTATTATCAGTCCATTTTAATTCCATTCTTTTGATTATGTAATCTATGATTCTGAACTACCTTTTCAAGTGTCTCCATAAATTTTGTTATTCTCTGAAAATTTGGACATCATTATTTTTTGAGAAGAGTATTATAATTTTTGTTTGAGAAGAGTATTGGTTGGTGGCATGCTATGTATCCATTTATATGGTGTAGATTATCATGGTGTGTTTGTGTTTATACGAGATAAGACAAGGAAAAAAAATTTCTTAGTTTACAATGAAAAAATTTAATAAATGACAATTTATTTGTATGGTTTTACAAATATAACTGTATTCAAACAGTACAGGTGAAGGAGTCAATAAACTTAAATATTTATAAAATTAAAAAAAAAAATAGTATTCTACAAGTATGATTGTTAATTGGGAAATGTGGTCTTACCAAATATCTAATTAGCTAAAATAATTATCGAGAAATGAATTCTACACTTTCGGTCCAAATTGCCTTTTAATCACTTTTGAATTTTTTTTCCACCTAAACCCTCCATATTTAATTTTACCAAAATTTGTCCAATAAAATAAAATATTATGATTAATTCCTGATTTTCAATTTATATGTATATATATAATAAATAAACCCTGAAGCTGTTATAGGTTGAAGTCGTCGAAACGGTCACAGCGACAAGAAGCAGATGGGGGTATTTGCCGGAGGTATCCCGGCGAGAGAGAGCGTGGCACATCCGGATTGGGTTGTGATGTGGACGCCATCACCGCCGACAACACCATAAACTGAGTATCTAGGACTTGTTCAGTGATATGGATTTTGTTTTATCAGATTCGTAGATTAATGAGTATTTTTAAATTGCAAGTATTATACATAGAATGTTCTATATTTTAATTTGGATCGTCTGTAATGCGTTTTTCCCTCTCATTGCTCGGGTAGTGGGGGTTGATGGTGGCAGTGGTTGTTCACGGATTCGTGTCGGTTTGTCAGACTCGGTGAAGGAATTTAAAGGAAGTGAGAGTAGTGGCGGCGGAGGTGGTGATTGGGTGGTGTTTTTTTGGCGATCACACAACTTTGTGAAATTTTCTTCATCGGTGTGTACATAATTTTTTGTTGCAGCTTTCTTTATTGATTTCGTCACAAACTGCCATAGTCAAATCCCTAACTAATGGGATATATAGGTCCTGCTTGGAATGGAACTCTCAAAACAATTTTATGTTTTGGGAGTTACAAAAAACTGTTCTTGAAAAAAAATGATCTGTTAAAACTAGAGTTTTAAGAGTAGCAGTTGTCTAAGAACAACTCAAAGTTGTTTTTGCTATTTTGGAGAACATGCTGAGCTTCGCTCGTTTAAAACCCTCCCTAGACTTTCTCTTTCTACCTTATCTTCAACCACATATTCTTTTCTGAACTTGCAACCTCTCTATCTTACGCTTCTCTAGCTTATCTTCAACATCTTCTCACTTCGATCAAGAATCTTGTTTGGTGGTCGTCGATCGATCCCTGCCTGTTAAAGATTTTTTTGGCCCTTTTTTTAAACACAAGAAACCTCTCATCTCTCAGAGATCTTGTTTCACCCTGCCTATCTCTCAAATTTGTCGCTGTGGTGGTATTGGGAGCTACTCTGTACAATTTTTGCTTCTGTACAATGTTCCCTTCTCTTAAAACACATAATATAATCACTGGCCTTTAATTATATATACATATACATATATATAGCTCTGATTATTATTATTTTTATTTTATTATCGATTTTATGGGGCTTGGTTTGCTTTGATTGGATTTGATTGCAGGGGGATTCAGATTTTCTTAGTTCTATTTTTTTAGATGTGGGCTTTGATTGTAAACATTGCTCCTTTGTCTCGTGAAAAGAGGATTCTAAGGGAACTTCTTGTAACAAATAGTTGGTTTAAAATTTTTTATTTTTTTTAAAAGGCCGCAACCAGACGAATTTTTGTTTTCTAAAAAGTTCTATAATTTTTTGTCTACCTAATGGGTTGTTTCTGCTCTCTATTTCATCTTCTCTGTTTTCAGTTTCCTGTTCTCATTCTTTAAAAACTATTTTCAAAAATTATTTTTGAAATTACATTCAAAATAGAGAGAGAATTTTGGTAAAATTAAACACATACTCCATAGTATAAAGAGAGAAAGAGAGGTGAGTCTCGTGAGAAGGGGTGGGGTGAACGGGGAAAGAGGATGAGAGGGGAATAAATTTAATATTAGATTTATATTTTTAATTGAAGAGCGTTTGGGTAAGATAATAATAAAAAAAGGTGTTGTTGAGGTGTAACCTTGTCTCAATTGTCTTCATATTTGATGGATGTATAATTTAAATATCCATGATTAAGGAAAAATTGCTAAATTAACGCACTATCTTATAAGATTGAGATAGGTTTTACAGATTACGATAACAATTAAAGATTGAGATAGATTCTACAGATTACGATAAGAATTAAAGATTATGATAAGGATTAAAGATTACGATAAGGATTAAGTCTACAGATTACGAGAATGTAACTTTACGTGACATTCTGACCTAAGCCCTATAAAGAAGGCGGGCTAATCAATGTTTTGAGGTACGCAATAAACCCTGACTCAATTTCTTGATTTCTCTGAAGAGATTACTTTGCACACTGACTTGTTCGTCGGAGCCTACTCCACCGGTAACACACCGTGTTTGTAGGATCACCTTTTCTTCTCTCTGTTTAGGAAGTTAGATCAGATCCGGGTTGCGCAGAATCCATCATCAACAGTTGGCGCCGTCTGTGGGAACGATTTTAGTTCTCTAAGCAAAGCATGGTTCGATTGCGATCTAGTTTGGCTGCTGGCGAGGACGAAGCATTGCAGGCTTCTGATGAAGGGGACTCGATGGGGTAACCCCACGTCGTCCCAAATGATCAGGAACGTGTCACAGCCTTGGAACAACTGGTGAACCAGTTAGTCCAGCAAAATGCGATGATTCTATAACGCTTAGCCGCCCCCAACGAGGAGAGAAACACCCAACAATGACTCCCGTAGGGTTGCCAACGACGTTAAGCTTAGTCAAATAGGGGGTCAACAAAGGAGCCATCACCATCGGTCCCCTGAACGGAATATCACCAAGCTCCGTGGAGATACTTCTAGTTATGTTGGTGACAAGACTGAGGACGCCACTCATTTCGATCCAGAGATGCAGGATCTGAAAGCTAAGGTTAACGATGTCATGCAAGCAATGAAAGGGAAGGGCCAGGCTGCGGTGAACGATATGGTGCAGAAGACCAACCTAGCTTTTAGCCCAGCTGTTATGAGTTGCCCTCTACCTAGCAAATTCAAGATGCCAACTCTTGAGAGCTTCGATGGGACGCGGGACCTTCTCGACCATTTGGAGACCTACAAAGCTCTTATGTATTTGTAAGCCGTACCGGACGAGATTATGTGCAAGGCTTTCCTTACCACATTAAAGGGTTGGGCTCGTCTCTGGTTCAATAAATTAAAGCCAGGCTCCATTGAAAACTTTGAAGAGTTGAGCAAACAATTCACAGGACACTTCATTGCTGGGCAAAAGCATAGGAGACCAGCAACACATTTACTGAATGTGAAACAGCAGAAGGGAAAGCCTCTTCGTGATTACATAAGTTATTTTAACATTGAAATACTGCAAGTAGAAGAGGTGGACGACAAGGTTGCCCTCACAGCCTTTATGGGAGGACTACGAACTTCTAAGTTCCTATTGTCCTTATCAAAGGAAGCCCCTACGAGCATGATAGAGTTAATGGTTAGAGCGCAAAAGCACATGACTGCTGAGGATGCAATGAATGCACGAAAAAACAAAGATGGTGAAGATAAGAGGTCGGATAAGAAGAGGCCAGCACCTAGCACTAGGGAGGAAAGGGAATCGAGGTACAAGAAATTCTCAAACAGCCAGGTTGATAGATCGTCTCGCCGTCCAGTGAGCCCAGGTAGGTATAATAACTATATCCCCCTAAATATATCTGTAGAGCAAGTCTTTCTGTAGATTTAAGATGACGCATCATTAAAATGGCCGCCAAAGCTAAAAACTGATCCAACAAAGAGGTCTCGAGATAAATACTGTAGGTTCCACCGAGACCATGGACATAATATAGAAGATTGTTTCGACCTCAAAAACCAGATCGAGAACCTCGTTCGTAAAGGTCATTTACGCAAATTCACGACTGGGAATGGAAAAGGAGGCTCCAACCCTGCCCGAGAGGGCCGAGATGATCGCCCTCCTTAACACTAACCAATGGGTGAGATCAGAGTTATATTGGGTGGTTTCGTTGGTGGTGGGGAGACGAGTTCGGCTTGGAGGGCTCATGCCAGGAGAATTCGGAGTTTTTCAGAGGTGAATGAAGTTAGAGCAACAAGTCCTCCAACAAAATTACCGCGAGTTGAGGAGCTGGTCATAACCTTTTCTGAAGAAGATGACAAGGGAATTCACCAGCCCCGTGATGACCTTCTGGTAGTTTCCATGGTCGTCACTAATTTCACTGTTCGTCGAATATTGATAGACAATGGTAGCTCGGCTGACATACTATTTCTTGGGGTGTACGACAAATTGAAAATCGGCCGAGAGAAGCTCCGACCTATAAAGTCACCACTGGTGGGATTTTCAGGCGACAACGTATATCCACTGGGGGCAGTTACCCTTCCAGTCACTGTAGGATCCAATCCAAAGCAGGTTACTGTAATGATGGACTTTGTAGTGGTGGACTACCCATCATCATCCAATATTATCTTGGGAAGGACAACATTGAATGCCATGAAAACAATCATTTCCACTTACCATTTCCTGATGCGTTTCCCAACTGAATATGGTATGGGAGAGCTAAGAGGGGACCAAACAATGACTCGAGAATGTTATGTCGTCTTTCTCAGGAAAATAAAATCGCAAGAGGCACTTACGATTGAAGGACTAGAAGAGAGAGATATGACAGATTTTCATAGAGCGGAACCTACAGAGGCGCTATAAGAGGTCATCCTTGGTGATAGTAAGCCTGAGAAGAAAGTGAGTATAGGGTTTTTACTCCCCCCAGGTATCAAAGATGAACTTACTCAATTCCTCAGGAAGAATCGAGACGAATTTGCATGGGCACATGAAGACATGCCAGGTATAGACCCCACTATCATGGAGCACCGCTTAAATGTAAATCCTAACTTCAAACCTGTCAGACAAAAGAAGAGGACTTTCGCTCCAGAGAGGAATCAAGCTATATCAGAAAAAGTGGAAAAGCTCTTAAAAGTTGACTTTATTCAAGAGGTGTACTACCCCGACTGGCTGGCAAATGTGGTCCTAGTGAAGAAGGTAAATGGAAAGTGGAGGCTATGTGTGGATTTCACTGACCTTAATAAAGCTTGCCGAAGGACAGCTTTCCTTTCCGAAGAATCGATATGTTCGTTGAGGGGACGGCTGGACACGAACTACTAAGTTTCATGGATACATATTCTGGATACAACCAGATATCTATGTACACCTCAGATAGAGAAAAAACAGCCTTCATCACTGATAGAGGTCTGTACTGTTACAAAGTAATGCTTTTTGGGCTCAAGAACTCTGGTGCAACATACCAAAGGCTAGTGAATGCAATGTCTAAGCACCAAATTGGTAGAAACATGGAGGTATACGTTGATGACATGTTAGTGAAAAGCCTAAAAGCTGAAGACCATTTGACTGACCTGCAGGAGACCTTCGAGGTACTTAGGAGGCATAAGATGAAACTCAACCCCAACAAGTGTGCCTTTGGGGTTTCCTCAGGAAAGTTCTTGGGATCTATGGTAAGCAGAAGAGGAATTGAGGCCAATCCAGAGAAGATCCGAGCAGTCATTAACATGAGATCGCCAAGATAAACCAAGGATCTACAACGACTAACATGGAAGATTGCTGCCTTGAGTAGGCTAATCTCTCGGTCAACTGACAGGTGTCTACCTTTCTTTCGTGTGCTAAGGAAGGCTTTTGAATGGACCCCAGAATGTGAGCAGGCGTTCAAAGAACTAAAGCAATACCTTAGTTCTCCCCCACTACTGTCTCGAACCATACCGGGAGAGGAAATATACATATACCTTGCGGTCTCCATGATAGCTATCAGTTCAACTTTGATACGAGAAGAAGAAGGGGTCCAAAGGCTAGTGTACTTCGTGAGCAGAGCACTCAGGGGTGCGGAGGAAAGATATCTAATGATGGAACAGTTGGTCTTTGCTTTTGTGTCCGCTAGGAAACTGAGACCATACTTTTAAGCGCACACGATAGTGGTGCTAACAGATCAACCCCTCCGACAAGTCCTACACAACCCAGAAAACTCTGGTCGACTGATGAAGTGGTCAATAGAGTTAGGAGAGTTCAACATTCAGTACAAGCCAAGAACAGCCGCAAAGGCTCAGGTGTTGGCTGATTTCTTAGCTGAGTTTACTCTTCCAGAAGAGGAGCAACAACCCCAATTTTCGACAGAACCAGGTTCAAGTGAGCAGATGGACCCAGGAGTAGTCTGAAACTTGTTCGTAGATGGGTCATCTAATGTTCAGGCTAGCGGAGCTGGGCTTGTTCTTATCCCCCAGAAGGAGAAAGTATACAGTATGCACTTTGGTGAGTACGAAGCCTTGATAGCAGGATTAAATGTGGCAAATGCCCTAAGGGTTGAGCAATTAAAGGTGTACACCGACTCCCAGTTGGTCGCTGGACAAGTTCAAGCGGAATATGAGGCAAGGGACGAGAAGATGAAGAGTTACCTATAAAAGGTAGAGGAATTAAAGAATCACTTCCAGAGATTCTCAATTCATCAAATACCACGAGAAAAGAACGGGAAGGCAGACGCCTTAGCCTGGCTAGCTACTGCATTGGAACCTGAGATTAATAAGACTATACCACTGGAATATTTAGAAGAACCATCTATATCTCAGGAGAGACAACTTGACGTGCAACAAGCAATATTGAGTGTGAAATGGGCAGATCCTATCATTAGATATATCATGGGGTGCTACCAACAGACTGAGCGGAAGCTCGAAAGGTTAAGATGCGGGCAGCTAGGTATACCCTTATCAGAGGGGTGCTCTACAAGAGAAGCCTCTCCATGCCGTATTTACGATGCGTTTTTAGCGAGGAAGCTGACTACATTTTGAGGGAGATCCACCTAGGAGTTTGTGGAAACCATACTGGGGGTAGGTCACTTGCTAACAAGGCCATCCGACAAGGATACTATTGGCCCACCATGCAGATTAATGTACTTAACTTCGTTAAAAAGTGCGACAGGTGTTAACGATTTGCTAATATCTCGAGACAACTGTTAGAGGAGTTGACTCCCATGTCAAGACCATGGCCATTTGCTCAATGGGAAATGGACTTGATTGGCCTTCTCATCAAGGGCAAAGGGCAAACTAAGTATGCCATTGTTATGGTTGATTACTTCACTAAATGGGTAGAAGCTAAGCCTCTGGCCAGGATCACAGAGAATAATATAAGGAACTTCGTGTGGAAGTCAATAGTTTGCAGATTTGGGACAGACAACGTAAAACAGTTCAACAACTCTGACTTCAAAATTTTTTATTCCGAGCTCGGGATTCAAATTCATTTTTCATCGCCAGGACATCCCCACGCGAATGGACAGGCTGAAGTCACTAATAGAACAATCCTTCAGATGATCAAGACTTGACTCGACGCTTCAAAGGGACTGTGGCCTGAGCAGCTGCCGAGTGTTTTATGGGCTTATTGTATTACTGTAAGGACTCCCACAGGGGAAACTCCTTTTCTTTTAGCGTTTGGAAGTGAGGCAGTAGTCCCTGTAGAGATTGGCTTAACAAGCTTTAGGACGAAGCACTACGAGCCTAAGCAGAATGAAAGGGAGTTGGAAGCAAGCTTAGACCTGATCGAAGAAAGGAGAGACCAAGCTCAGATTAGGATGGCTGCTTATGAACAGAAGGTTTCCAAGTATTACAATGCTCGGGTCAAGCCTAGGAGGTTCTCAGTAGGAGATTTAGTACTCCGCAAAGTTACTCAAGTAACTAAGGATTCAACCATAGGGAAACTTGGTCCTAAATGGGAAGGGCCTTACAAAGTTACACGATGTCAGCGACCAGGAACATATTGGTTAGAGGACTACGAGGGAAAACCACTGCCTCACCCATGGAATGTTGAGCATCTGAAGAAATATTATCAATATTCATGTTAAATGGATAAGCTGAGTATAATTCCTACTAATCTACTTCCCTTGTTAAAGGGTGAGCTAGATGAAGCTCATAGTAATCTACTTCCCTTGTTAAAGGGTGAGCTGGGTGACGCTCATAGTAATCTACTTCCCTTGTTAAAGGGTGAGCTGGGTGACGCTCATAGTAATCTACTTCCACTGTTAAATGGTGAGCTGGGTGAAGCTCATAGTAATCTACTTCCCCTGTTAAAGGGTGAGCTGGGTGAAGCTCATAGTAATCTACTTCCCCTGTTAAAGGGTGAGCTGGGTGAAACTCATAGTAATATACTTTCCCTGTTAAAGGGTGAGCTGGGTGAAGCTCATAATAATCTACTTCCCCTGTTAAAGGGTGAGTTAGGTGAAACTCATAATAATCTACTTCCCTATTAAAGGGTGAGCTGAGTGAAGCTTGTATTCATCTACTTACCTTATTACAAGCTACGTGAAACTTGTCTTAATCTACTTTCCTTATTAAAGGGACGAGCCGACTAAAGATGTCAATATGATGAAGTATTAAATTACATAATGCGACAATCGCAATGGCAAAACATAACTGTCCATCCTACTCATGAACCCTACAAATATAAATGGAAACTAATTGCAACAACAAATAACGGCAGCTTGCCACATAACGATAGGCTGTTAGCATGCCAGCTTGCCAAATAACGGTAGGTTGCCAGTATGACAGCTTGCCAAATAACTGTAGGTTGCCAGTATGACAGCTTGCTAAATAACGGTAGGCTGCCAGCATGCTAACACGGCAGCTTGCCGTATAACGGTAGGCTGCCAGCATGCTAGCATGACAGTTTGTCGTATAACGGTAGGCTGCCAGCATGGCAACTTGCCAAATAACGATAGGCTGCCAGCATGGCAGCACGGCAGCTTGCCACATAACGGTAGGCTGCCAGGCAGCTTGCCAAATAACGGTAGGCTGCCAGCATGCCAGCACGGTAGCTTGCCACATAATGGTAGACTGCTAGCATGGCAGCTTGCCAAATAACGGTAGGCTGCCAGCATGCCAGCACGACAACTTGCCACATAATGGTAAACTGCCAGCATGCCA